AACACATTTGTCATTTAAGTACTACATCTACACTCGAAAATAAGAATCTAATAAACAAGCATCCATACACTACTAGTTTATTATAAAATATTAAATGTGCAAGGATATGCAAAATGAAAGAGTTTTTGTTTCAAGGTTGTGAAGCCTTTCTCTAAAGTTTAAACCTTTCCAATGGAACTCAAAGCTTGCATGTTATTCCTTTTACAAAATCCTCAATTTTCATCGATCATCATAACATAAGATTTTGTGGTATCCATTGGTGTAAATATTTTAAATTGAAGATCGAATTTATTTATTGTATTTATATAGGGTCAAGGAGTGTAGCTGTAAAAAATCATACAAATCGGAGTTAAAATAACCGTTAAATCATAATTTTTCTTTGATAACCGTCAACAAGTTTTGTCCCTTTACTTGATCTCTGAATGTTTATTTTTTGCGATTTTTAGCGTATGCAATCTCGATGCATATACAAACAAGTTTGACGATTAGATTGTTGAAATTAGTCTCGTAGAATGCTTATCCCATCAAAACGATAGATTCACTAACACTTAGGAGTTTATTCATACTTTCATGAAGTATAACATAAGATTTTATGGTATCCACTAGTGTAAATATTTTAAATTGAAGATTGAGTTCATTCATTGTATTCATATATGGTCAAGGAGTGTAGCTGGAAAAAATCATCAAAATTAGAGTTAAAATAACTGTTAAATCGTGATTTTTCGTTGATAACCATAGAAAAGCTTTGTCCCGTTACTTGATTTTTGAATGTTTGCTTTTTTCGATTTTTGGCGTATGCGGTCTTGAAGTATATACAAACATGTTTGACAATGGGATCGTTGAAACTAGTTTCGTAGAATGCGTATCCCACCAAAACAATAAATTCACTAACACTTAAGAGTTTATTCATATTTTCATTACGTATAACATAAGATTTTGTGGTATTCACTAGTGTAAATATTTTAAATTGAAGATCGAGTCCATTCATTGTATTCGTATAGGGTCAAAAAGTGTAGCTGTAAAAAAATGATCAAAATAAATCAAGTTCATTCATTGTATTCATATAGGGTCAAGGAGTGTAATTGTAAAAAATCATCAAAATCAGAGTTAAAATAACCATTAAATCGTGATTTTTTATTGATAACCGTCGAAAAGTATTGTCCCGTTACTTGATCTCTAAATGTTTGTTTTTTACAATTTTTGGCATATGCGATATAAACATGTTTGATGGTTGGATCGTTGAAACTAATTTCGTAGAATGCGTATCCCATCAAAACAATAGATTCATTAACACTTAAGAGTTTATTCGTACCTTCATTAAGTACAACATAAGATTTTGTGGTATCCACTAGTGTAAATATTTTAAATTGAAGATCGAGTTCATTCATTGTATTCATCTAGGCAAGGAGTGTAGCTGTAAAAAATCATCAAAATCGGAGTTAAAATAATTGTTAAATTGTGATTTTTCGTTAATAACCGTCATAAACCCGTTACTTGATCTTTGAATATTTGTTTTTTACGATTTTTTGATGATGTGATCTCGAAGCATATATAAACAAGTTTGACGGTTGGATCATTAAAATTAATTTCGTAGAATTCGTATCCCATCAAGTTCAATGGTATATATATATTTATTAAGTAGATTTAAATTTATTTATTTTGTGTGTGTAACACTTAAGAAATTGAAAGGTATGTATATTTAAGCCGATCCAATGGTCACCAATTTTTAATATTTAATTTAATATATATATATATATATATATATATAATTATTATAGTTTTCAGGGGTATAAAATTGTTAAATTAATATATATATATATAATTATTATAGTTTTTTTTTTAGGGTTATAAAATTATAAAATTAATATTTTGCTTATCGTGTATCGTGTTACCCACGTGTATACCCGAACCAACTCGTTATCTAAACAGGTGCTTATCAGGTTACCCGATAACGACCCGATTCGTTATCGTGTCGACCTGAACACCTGTTAATTTCGTGTCGTGTCGGGTTATCGGATCGTGTCAGGAATTGCCAAGTCTAGTTATAACGTTTTCAAAAAGTTTTTATTAAAACTTTATCTTCAGACCCGCTCACCCTTATTTGCGCCCACTCAGTATTGGTGGCTACCTCTAAGGGTATGATCCTTACCCACACTACTGTACTTTACTTATGTTATGACGTCGCGTTTAAAATGGATTCATTCCCACTCACAACACACTATTGTCTTTAGGTACTTTTAGGTTTAAATTTATTCATTTTCCACATCACTGCACTTTATAGCTTCATCACCTTCCAGTTGTCGGCCAACACAGCTCGATTTGGAGTCTTAGTGGACATTACGGATCGAGATGTGTCAATTAGTGTAATATCTTATGTGATAATTAAATGACTTGTACATATAATGTCAATTATAGGTGTAGGAATTATTTTTGATAATTCTAAAGTACCATGCAAGTATTATAGACGTTGATAAGTATTTTTTACGTTTAGTATATATTATTTTAACACATTTTTCAATAAAACGTATAAAATTCATGTTTCTATACATATTTTTAACCATTAAGAAAGAAATAAAAATATAAATTATTAAGAAACAAATATAAGTAAATAAAATATTAATTAAAAATGGCAGAATTTTTTTGAATTTTTTATTTTAGCAAAGTTGCCAAATTATAAACGTAAGTATTTTTCACGTACTATATCCGTTATGTATAATAATTCCGATTAAATACTTTTTTATAGGGACGATCATTAAACAAAAATTAAGAAATTACACAATTTGAACATGAAATTTTATGCCACAAAAATACGTTATTCATAATGATAGAGATATGTGCACTATTTTCAATGGAATGCAATGGTAACATTAAGCACGCGATGTTCTGTCGGGCACTTTTGGAAAAAGGCTAATGCTTGCATTCTTCTCTTGAGGTATGGCTTATTTCCTAATTTGTTGTAAATAACGTATTTTCACTATAAAAATTTCATAATTGGAACCTTTCAATATCTTAATCTTCATTTGAAGATTATTCCTACAAAAAAAACATTTGAACCGGAGATCGTTTAGGCATCCAAATGTACCAAATAAATCAACAGTTTATCATGAACATGCTACTTGATGCCTAAATCGTTATTTATTTGATGCATTTGGATGACAAAACAATATTCAATTCGAATTATTTTTTTGTGAGGATGATCTTCAAACAAAAATTAAGAGATTGAATGGTTCCAATTATGAAAATTGAAAATTCTTAAGTGGAAATATGTTATTTGTAAGTGAGAATGAGATCATCCTGTAAAGGTGGAATGCAACTATTCGGGCCCTTTATAAAGCGGGATCCCCATTTCAGCTGAAAATGGCCACAAGAAAATTGGCTTAACAAAAGAAAATAGGACCAAGCCTGCCCATTTGTGCTTCTATCATACATGATCTGTGTAGAAAATCGGAGCTACGAATCATTAAATCTCGTAAACAGTTACTCAACCTCTCCTTTGGTTTGACAAAAGTAGAAAGCCCAAAAACAATGGCGTGCAAGGAGGGCCTCGGTTCCCTTAAAGAAAAAGGATAGAGACGATAATAATAACGGACTAGAAACTTGTCCTCAGTTGCTGAAAATTTTCCCACGTACCCCTTGGTGAAAATGCAAAATTTCCAATTCTTATAGCATCCCACAAGCACACTAGCTTCCAAAAATCCAGAAAAGTGATGTACCGAAGAACTTGTTCCTTCATGATCCTGATGCATACAATGCTGCTGAACAAAAACCCGAAATGTTCTACGATTCATCTATTGTAGTTCGTGATACATTCTGCATGTAGGTATCGACAAATTTTGTCTTGATCCAGTAATAATCTTGCTTCCTCGGATTAAGTAGCGAGGCATCAGACAAATTGGCATCATCAACACAATATTGTATCAACTCTCCAAACGTAAAGCTCCATGACCGTGAAACAATGATCTTCAAACAAAATGGCCCAAGTCTTGATATCATGAACAATTCCATTTGTTGCTGTCTCATGTAGCACAGTACAGGTTTGTTCAAGACTCTTGGCAGTCCAAAGTACCAAAATCGCTTGGTTATATATGTTGTGGTCCAGCTGAACCCAACACTTGTCACCGGCTTTATAATTAGCTCAAAACACCCTGTTCTTGTGTAAGACACAGCAGCCTCAAGCATCCAATGCAGATATAACTTGCTGATCTTCTCCATAAAAGTATGTGACATCGATGACGATAAGGTGAATAAGACCTTAAAAACGATGATTCCAGTTTGAATTTGCGAAGAGCAATAATTCCACTGCCATGAAAATTGAAGCAAGCAGTGCATACACTAGCCATTCTTGCACCAACTAGCTCCAGGAGAATATTTTTCTTGCTTTTTTATGACTTGTCAAGGTAATTGTTGGCAAATGAAGGAACAACTTTTGACTCGGCACCTAAAAACCGAATCCAAGTTAGACAAAGCTGTAATATCATGGTTTCTACTGTAGCATTCCATAATGCTATGAAAACTTCCAATGCATCATCCGTTAGTGTAGGATACTCAGCCACATTCTGACACTGCAACGTCAGAGTAAGAAATGCCCCAACCACAACGATAGAGTGCTGGAAGGTTATAAACATATGAAAAACACCATGTAGTGCGGGGAAGACAGGACCACGACTGGACGAGTAATGACTTTTCGAAATCCACCCCTTGTGTGATCGACATATCCCGCACTGCAATTGGTCCCTTCCTTAGTGCAACATCGAACATTCTCATGGAAGGAAAATGTGACCGGTATTCTCAATCTGCAAGCAGTTGCAAGCCAAAATGATCAAGGGGAAGAAGATTTGCGTCGTTCGAGAGGCAGAGATTCAGAGCGACGGGGACAGAGAAGAAATGTAACGAGTCGTGTTTAATTGCAACCGCACGATCTCATTGAAAGAGATCGGACGACTCTCCGCATCATCCCATTTTTTCAGCTAAAATGGGTCCCTCCTATTAAAGAGGCTGTGCAAGTACTATACTTGGAAAAATCAACAAACGGGGAAACACAAAGAAGCAGAGATTAGCAGAGGAATGGGAACACTAACAGCGCCGGCGCCATGGAAGCAGCTCCTTCTCGGCGCAATGGAATCAAATTCCCACCTAAGGCACTCTTCCTACATTCAGCTAGTATGTCTCTCTCTCTCTCTCTCTCGTAATCAATTTTTTTCTGCTAAAGTTTGAATCTTTGATGGTTAATTGGTTATATAGGCTACGATCGGTTGTAACGGGAGACCTTCAAATCGGACCGTTGTTTTCAGGTACTGGCTCTCTTTCTCTATCTCTCTCTCTCTCTCTAAAATCAAAGTTGAAAACTTTTCTGGGTAATTCTCAGGGGATTTCAAGAGGACAGTGATAAGATTCAAATCCACACCGATTGCAGAAGTCGTAAGGTGTTCATTCTCCTTCCACCCAATTTGTATTTTCCCCCAATTTACATGTTTCTTTAGATTTTAAGATGATATGATGTTTGAGCTTTGAAGGAATGGAAGTTGGAACTGACATTTCTGCCTGAAAACTATTGCAGATTGAGGAGCTTAAGAATTGCCCTTTTGCTGAGGTAATTTATCTTTGAGGTACATTCCCCTTAATTTCTTAAGAAACGATCGGCTTTCTATCGATATGCACTACAAACAATGCTTATTTTGTGCTTGGGACTTTAATTTTCCATGTTTTTAGATATGTTGGTACTTTACTGACTCGTGGGAGCAATTTCGGATCAGTGGAACAGTTGACATGGTTGATGGATCAAATCCCGACCCCGTAAAACTTGAGGTGATGTCAATATCCTTTTAACGTATGCATCGTCATCTGAACTTATACTTTGTATATGGTGTTTTTGCTGTGGCAACTCCTATGTCTAAATTTTGAGTCGGAACTTTTTAGGATGTAAGCGATACTGCAGAAATCCTAGTTTCCATGTTAGATGGCATGTTAAACATGTATTCATCAAATCCAGTTGATTCGTCGAAGGGCTGCAGGTAGGAACTTCAAAATTCAGTTTGAAACTCACCGCATGGTCTCATCCCAACTAAGTTAAGAAAATTTGGTCATCAAGGGCCTAACCTAGTCCCAACATGCTCTGGTGTTTTGTTGAGGAAAGTAAAGCCCGATGAGGCTTAATTTGACATCACTTATATAAGCATAAGTCTGGGATCTTCGTTGATCATCATGTCTATATGAAGTCCCATGCACATGTATTCGGTAGTCAATACAGTTCATACAAAGCTTACCGAATATTTTTCATGTTTGCTTATAAGATTTCAGCTAGATTTTGCAATATATTTTGATTTATCATGTAATTTCTAGAAATCGACATGCTTAGGCCAAAGATGGTAAAATTGGGCGAAGCTTGGTGCTGGACTGAAATTAGTTTTTGGCATGGTGCCACTTCGTCGGCTTCCTTACAGAGCAAGGATGAAAGATACTGTGTTTTTGTCGAAAGAAAATCCCACAGTTGAGCATGTTGCCAAGATGTGGAGGTGGAAGGTATACGTAAGACGATTGAGTGATGTTGGACATCATATGGTAAAAACAAGTGTGTTTAACTAATGAGTTAGTCACGATCATCGACCTCACACAGATGTTTAAAACTGTGGGTTTCTGTTTGTTCCTGATATTCCTCTCTAAAATTGCCTGGTGCAGCAAAGAGAGAAATCTTGGTTTTCCACGTCTCTGAGATCAAGACTGCAGTATTTGGGGCCGCATCCAGGACTTCCTAATCTGAGTGAAGAAACACCGGCGCAAGTGTTTCTTGACCCTTCTGCAGGCCCGGCTGCTGCATTTTGCGTGCTTTTTCTGGACCCTCAACAGGTTTAATAGCTTCTCCGGTCTTGCATTGACCTAAAAATTTGCTTAGTTTCATCCCTGCTTATTTTCCTGCATTTCATTGCATTCGCAGGTTGATTTCTTGAATCTGAAGAGTAACCAGAGGGTAACATTTTCATCGACGCAAAGTCCCAATGGAGACAAGTGCTGGACTTCGGAAAGGGTTAACCCATAAACATCTGTTCTATGATTTTAGATTCAAACGATTTGCCATGTACTGCTAATTTATTCTCCTTCGTTTACATATAAAAAGGAATTGCCAAAGCCGGAGCTAGTATTTCAGCCTAGTGCCAGTTCTTCATCATCTGTGGCTAATGTTGGTGGCGGTGGTGGTGGTGGTGGTGGTGTTTTATGTGCTCATGCTTCTCTTGCCCTTTGTAACGTGACATAAAGACTCCTTCAACCGCAACAGTAAATTAATTAAAATTTTAGAAAAGTAGTTTGATCAAATCTCTTAAAACCTTAAACGATTGATCAAAGAAATTCAAAACCAAGCATCTAGATCAAAATGCCCATTAAGAAAAATATATTTTTATAGAATTTGCACATATACCATATTGTTGTATAAAGATATTTTATAGTATGCTTTTGTAGTATTTTAAAATTATTATAATAATATTTTTCTTATCATGTAACATGATACTCATATGTACACCTATTATCTTAATAGGTGTTTATCAAGTTACCAGATAATGACCCAATTCATTAACATGTCAACCCGAAATATGTTAATTTCATGTCGTTTCGTGTCAAGTTAACAGGTCGTGTAAGAAATTATCAGACCTACTTAGATTACAAGGAATTCCGTATTCTTGGGGAGACCATGTATCGATTGTATAGAAAGTTGAAGAATCTATCGAGACGTTCGAGTACCAATTTTTACCAGCCCAAACTAGCATATTATGCCATTAGCCCGTAGCTGAAAAGAGGTACAAGTTGCACGAAAACAAAATTGCATTTTTGAGTAAAAGAAAATCAATTTAAAAAATTAAATTATGTACACGTCAAAATTTGAGCTACCCATAATTGTGTCTAATGCATGCCATGCCACGCCACGATGCCTTCAAAACTACGCTGCATCACTGTGTGTCATGGTGCAAGGTTTCATATAGTAATTTGAGCATGCAAATGTATCTAGGTTTTCTCCAATGCGGGATAGTAGCTGGATGTGAGTATTCAGTTGATCAGAATTACACAACTGACCAACCGGCCACTCACATCCTGCAAGTATCCCATAATGATTTGTCCCACTGGAGAAATTGTGTGTACGACCACTACTACTGCTACTACAATAGCAGCAAAAGCAGCATATGAGCTAAAGTTGGTGCAGAGAAGAATCTCCCATCTCCAGCTCTCTTCGGTGGCTTAAAAATATAAGATTCAAGCTCGCTGAAAGAAGTCAAAAGCACTTGTTCAAAAGTGCTTATGAGATGAGCGTTATAATTAGCCTCCTAGGAGTTAAAAAGAGTTGGGTCAACTGGTTGAACAGACAGCTAAGCAGAAACTCCCCTCCCATGAAACTGCCACTGATGTGAAAAAAATGGTTGAATCCAGAAAATTGGGTTTTGGCTCCTTGCAGAACTCCCTAGGGACGCCACATGCTCTAACCCCCAAAATTGCAACAAATTTACAGGAACTTGCTGCACTCGAAGATAAAATTTCGTAACCTCCCACACTAAGCACTACTAAACGTGAGAGCAGTCAGTTTAAGTGTGAACAATCTCCAAAATACCAAGTTTAAGTTTTGATAGTTGGTTCAGAGACTCTCACAGGGATGGGGTGCTTGCCTTTTCCTCCAAGGACGGGGTGCAAGGTTTGGGCTTCAAGGGGTAGAGTCTTGAAGGGGAAGCGAGCAAGGCTATACATAATCCAGCGCTGCATCTTGATGCTGATTTGCTGGAGAGAAGAAGGTCAGTAGTGATTAGATTATTCGACTGAGCAAATATTGATCAATGTGTTTCATTAGTTGCATCTGAGCTATCTGCAAATAAGAAATCTAGATGATGAGCTGAATGAAAAATATTTCCTACCTTTGTTCTGCATATCCAAGCTGCTTTCGTTAATATTCCCCTGTTTTTCTTTCGATGATTTTTTGTGAATCGTTCTTTCTAGCCACTGTGCTGGTTAAGCAATCATCCCAAACCAAACGTGCCATTTTATGCTGCAGCATCTTATTTTCAAACAGACAATAAAATCATACCTCTGAGAGCACCAAATTTGCGGTGAACACTTGGCACGTAGGACTTCTGGTACTCCTGAGATTTGAATCCCTTCCTCCTTAGTTATGTTTTGAATGCTCATGCTTGAAGAGGGATTCGTTGTTCAACGATGTTTGATTTCACCAGTAAAGGGAACATAATAAATTCATACCATATCTGGTAAAAAAGTCATTTGCATACAAAGGTGAAAATCGAAGACTTATTCACAGTGATGTGCAATACTCAGATCAAATACTAGACTCTGTCTGTGGTATCTTTCACAAAGACTGAGATGCGGCTCTCAAGGAAAGAAAGACAAACTTTAATACGCTTTAACGACTTTTGTCGCACATAGCGCTGAAGATCTTGCATTAACAGAAAGGTGAAGACCGTTGATGCTACATCTTATAGTTACAGAAGCAGACACCATATCAGACCGTTAGTTCTAACTCGACAATCAATTTTGTCCTATGTTGCGACATAGACACGATCATAATCATTAATCCAGTGAAAAGCTCTGAGTTTCGATAGACAATATGTATAAAAGAAAGGGAGAAAGAAGGAATTAAAGAACCCTAGTCAGCCATTTTTCTGTCTGCAAAGTCGCAAACTCAGTAACATGGAAAAGTACCTTCTTTCTAATCTTCTGGTCTCTAATTGTTCGCAAATGATCTATGGTCCCCAAAATTAACAACAACAACACACAAAAAGGCACACTGGTTCAATAAAATGAGACCATCGTCCAAAATCTGAAAGGAAAGTCATCCATGAAAAGTTTGGCTCGTGATGCAAATTCGTGGTTCAAATGACCAGAAACATAAGAACAAACCAAGACAAACTCCAAAACGTTCCACATTTTCCAACCTAAACAACATAACACTTTGATCAACTAAGATGTAACCACCCATTACGCATATGAATTCAGAAACAAGTAAAACATCAAGCTCGAATCACTATAAGTCCGTAAAATATCGAATAAAATCCACCGACTGATGTGTGGGACTGAGGACTTACCCACATAATTTTCAAGCTAAAGTGACATAAGCCAGTCTCTGACCAAACTATAACGTTACATAGAAAAACCATAACTGATGTTAGCATGAGAGAGAGAGAGAGAGAGAGAGAGAGAGAGAGAGAGAGCATATGTAGACATACAATTCCGATGCTATCATTCGATTGTTTTCTTTCCGTAAATAAAATTAAATCCATTTTTATTTTTATTTCTCAGACGAAAATGCTACCATCGAAGCTAAAACTGCTGCTTCCAGAGCACTCTAGATGCAAACAGTGATTGTACCTTACGCATGTAAAGGTTGTACCCTGACACGGAAGCAACAACGTCAGCTCTGGATATAGCATTTCCCCTTTCCCAAACTCATCAAAAATTGAAATTTTACAAAAATTCCCAATTTCATACAAAATCCAAACAGAATTCCAATTCGTACGAGACACAAATTAAATTACACATAAAAAGCAAAAGAAAGCATTGAAATTTCCTCTTCTAATATTCACCGTATGTGAGATCTGCTGCGAGTGAGTAGCTGTATTAAGCTGAAACGCCGTCGCTGAGGCGGTGGTGGGTGGCGGCGGCGGGGGGCTTGATGGGCTGATCGGGGCCGGCGATGGCCTGGTCTTGGTGGGACCCGGCGGTGGGCCTGGAGGAGCAGGAGGAGGAGAGGAAAAGAGGGCGGTCGTCGTTGGTGATGTTGTGATTGTCGTCGTCGAAATCGGCGGTGTTGAGATTGATGCAGGAGCAGCGTTCCAGTGAGGCGAAGAAGGCGGAGGCGACGTTGGTGCCCACACACGACAGCACGGACATGCAGTTGGTCTCCATCGTTGGATCACGTTGATTGAGCGGTACAGATTGATCGAGTGCAGAGTCTCAGTGAAAGGGAGAGGAGCAGCTGAGCAGAGTTTTGGGGGAAGGAAGACAACGGAGTTTTTGGGAAATTAGAATTTGGAATAAAGGGATACCGGAAGTCTTCTTTATGCTACGTTGTGTGATTTGTCCGTTTCTTGTAAATTAATATTTGATTTTCGATTAAAAGTAAATGGTTTTGATTCTGTTAATAAAATTATATTGCTTTAGTACGGTGGTATGGTTGTATTTTTTTTTTAATATATAAATGAGAAATGTTATATTTAATTTTCATTAAATGTGAAATTTAGCATATTTTTATATTTTTTTAATTATAAAATAATAAGAAAAATTAATAAAAAATATTTGAAAATTTTGAATTTTAACGATAAGGATAAAATAAAGGATAAAATAAATAGTACCAATATTGACTTTTTAATAAAAAATTATGATTTTTCATTAAACTAAACAGTAGTGCAAGCTTTTCGTTAAAATTCTCTAGATAATATCATTTATTAAATTATTTGAAAAAAAAGTCGTTTATTAAAACTAAAAAGAATTATATTATATTTTGTTACTTTCATCAGGGCTGTTGTCAGCTGATTATTTTACGTTTCCTATTTTTCTCCTGATCAGAAATAGATAGTATCCCCAAATTTTGACCACGCCTTTAGCAAAGAACATGCAAAATTAGGATTAATTGTGATACTGGCCGTTGAATTTCTCCCAAGTTTCACTTTTGGTCCTTCAATTTAGTTTTCAATTTCCATATGTCTCACTATAGTTATTTTATCAATTTTATTTTAGTACATTTAAACTATCTGTATCACTCTTTAAATATGCATGCAAATGAAATAAAGAGTAACAAAACGATGTGCGACGTAATTGAAGAATCATGATATTTAAAAACTAAATTCAACGACTAAAGTGAAACACGGGTACAAATTCAAAGACCACTAAAATGATTAACCCAACATTCCCGATCACTAAAAACACAAATCAAAAGGGCAAGGCTATGAAACCATAAAGAAATGAAGCCAAAAAATGGATGAACCACTTTGATAGGTTCATAGCCAATTCATGGCACAACAGAATCTCAGAAACCACTTCCATGATGTCCAATTCAATCAAAAGTAGAATGGTAACTCGATCAGTTTAACCACCCGTTATGTACCTCCATGTAATCATGTGCCACTTCACTGTGGTCTTCTTATTCAGAAAGAAGCAGAGCGGGTAAGCCTTGGCTTGGCTATCTTCTTGTCCTCTTCAAGAGAGATGAGTGCAAGATTGGCCGGATTCTCGATCATCAACTTAGCAACCAGGTATCCGGAGATGCTCCAAGTCTGGTACTTTCTTGCTTGCTTCCCAATGTACCTCCCTGTCTTGCCGTCATAGTACTCGGGCCACCCGTCTTTCGAGAGTCGCTGCTCCACCAGCTCTATTGCTTTCTTCGCCATCTGAGGCCTCCCGGTCTTGATGCAAGCTGCGGTAAGCAGCCACAGCAGCGCTGCAAGAGAGGATGACGCATTAACAATTGTCAAGCCACATTTGCATATTTGTTTTAGAGCAAACACATGTGTCAGCATTCGATGAGCTACACTAAGTTACTAACAAACATCAAATATCACGTCCAATGAAGAACAACGGATTAGACACGCTACATAGCTGAAGATTTTGATTGGAAAAGTGGCGGCAAATGGTAATTGAAATTGTCACATTATGCAAATAGATACAAGAGTCACTTGATCAGTACGTAAAAAGCAAGCAACAAACAAAAACAGCCCAACAGCTTATTCAACGATTTAAACGAAAAATCTTCACTACTTCAATGGCTAAAATGAGGATTAGAGGTTCTAAAATGGACAAGCATAACAACTGCAGTAGCAATTAGCAAACATATAAGAGCTTACTTGGCCAAGAACCACCATTGTGGTAACTCCATCGTGTATTTTTCGGATCAAATCCCGTGACAATTCTCCACTCATGTCCCTCCAATGCAGGGTAAATAATTTTCAGAGGCATCTCCCCAATCAAGTCCTCCCATCGCTCCTCAATCAAGTCCATAATCGCTGTAGCTTGCACAGGTGTTACCAGAGAGCTGAGGATGGCAATACAATTCCCAACTAAAAACCACCTGAAGTCCATCCTAGCTGGGCTAACATTGCCGATCAGATATCCTCCTCGCAAGGGCATAAAATCAAAAACCCAGTCAGGGATAGACTCTGGAATGACATTAAACTTATTGACGGCAGTATGGGAATACTCCTCAGTTTTGTAGCGGTACACATTGTTTAGCTGTGTAAAATCAAGCCAGTAATACGTCTGGATGTGAAAGCTGAGAGCTGAGATGCGCTTATCTATCCGCTCAAGGAACTCCTTGCCACCACGTTCTGGATTCAACAGCTGCCGCGCACACCTCAATGCAAAGTAGAAGAGTGCTTGAATCTCAATTGGATAACCATACATCCCCTGTCCAAAAATCAAGAAAATGCATGAAATTTGGTTCACTTAATTATAAGGTATCCTTAGACTAGTTGGGAAAACCATGGATGCAATTGACAAGGCCAAACCACAGAAAATTAGATATCAAGTAATTTTCCACAAAATCACTAAGAGATCGAAGTGAAAAACATGCGAGTTATGGCATTCTAACTTCTCTAGCAGGCAAACTATATTGCCACATAAACAAATCCTGTACTGAACCAAGATTTTACCACAAGAATGTGTCTATTAGTACATATCATTTCAGCTAGTGAGGCCAATATTCTAATAGGAGTTGGGAGAATAAACCGACTCAAAACTGATACACAGTTTCAAGAATCCTACAAACAGAAAAGAAAAGACTCACCATCCTCCTGTCGATCATACTACAGCCATCTGCACAGAGAAGTGTCGGGAATGTGTCAAACCCATCTGACAGGCAAAGATTGAGAATTAACTTTATTCCCGTCTGCACCTCAGGAAGCTCTGCCAGTGAGTGATCACGAGTGCATTTGGTGTATGATCTCAGCAAAATGATCCACCAGAACCCAGAATCAATAGGCGCAACTCTTCCAATTGCGCTGCCACCAAAATCTGCAACTAAAGTTTCATTCTTACGATGTTGATCAAAGAGAACCTTAAAACTTGCTGGCAGAACGCCTTCTCCAAGCGTAAAATTATCAATCCTTTTTTCCCAGCTTTGGAGGTGGAGGGTCTTGAGGAGAAAATTCTTTACAACATCTCGTTGATCTGGTTCTTTTTTCATCAGGCAGGCCAAACCACTAGGAACAAAATCTCTCACAAACACCTGCATTACATATCATTACTTGATTGGGATCATTCTTAACGCCTATTTCCAACCAATTCAAACAATATAAACAAAATAAATTGAAGTTACCAATTCTCTTTCCCATATTTGTAGTATTCTGAATACTGACATCTATCAGGTGAACACTAACAAGCTGGCTAATTAGTGTCACAAGTTATCAAATACAATGAAGAATAATACTTGCATTCCCCATTTTCAATGCCTAAATTTCTGAATTAGAGACACACAAACACTTGCAAATACTCCATCTTCAATACCTAAACTTAGAAATTATAGACCAATTAATCAAGAAGCACTAATCCACAATTAGATGCACTAATAAACAGATAATCAAGAAGCATCAATCAGCAACTAATCAACAGTTGATCAAGAAGCACTAATCAGCAATTAATCAAGAAGCACTAATCAACAATTAAGTTATTAACAAGAAACATTTGGTATACCTGATTGTAATTCAAAGTCTCAGCCGTTGGATCCATAGCTGCAAGAGTGCCCACTGGCTTGCCTTTGAAGTAGACGTACGACTTCTTGAGTCTCTCCCAAGCCTCCTCCACCATCCCTGGACTCCCTGCCGATTTCGTCTTTGGCGAACCTTCCTTCCAAGGATCCAAGTTCTCAATAAGGCTCGCTCCCACACTTGGAGACGGCAACAGTACCCCTGGCTTCGCCGCGCTCACACTCACTGGAACGTCATCATTTCGCTGGAAGTTCGTTGTCTTCTTCGCTGGCGGTCTCTCGCACTCTTCCTTCCGTTTTGGCATCTCGCCAGCATCCAAAGATTCCGTAAACGTCTCCGAGCTTGACTTCTCCGTCGGACTCGAATCAGAGGTTATTGCACTTTCTTCTGCCGACTTTTTTGACTCAGCATTCCAATTCGCAATCATTTGGTGAATCTGATCGTAATCCAAAGCTTCTGTCGATTTCAGACTCGATGTCGAGCCTTCATTGGTTAAAGAATTGGAATCTTTCTCCGACGGCTTTGTCTCAGGCTCTTCTTCATCGTTCGGAGAGCATGAAATCCTTTCCGGCGAGATGACATCATCGGAAGATTTCTCGACCGTCGCCGGCACCGGAGGCGGAGGAGCCTCCGCTTCTTTTGTTTCGGTGAGGAGATCATTGAGCGTTTTCCCCATTTCCTACGAGAAAGAGGAAAAAATCGATACAGAGCTGTAAAATCTTGAGGTAGAGAGAGAAAGAGTGTGTGTCCGTACAGAAGTTAGAGAGAGAGAGAGGTATATAAAGGGGCGCGATTCTGGGTGGGGGAGTCCGAGTCAGGGAGGACGGGAAAGCATGGTTCGTTTTGGCGGTTAGAAACGGAATTGAAGCAACGAGTCTGACGAATTTCGTTTGGGCGGCGTTGGGAATATCTTCATTTCTTTGGGGGCGTTTCCGGAAATCAATGTCAATGACCGTTCGTCTGCGCGGGAAGGGAAGTGCTCATCATCTGGAAACGACACCGCATAAGGCACAAATGAATCGGTGATTCCCACAAAAATCGAACCAAGAATTCTTTATGCTCAAATTGCGATTTAAACTTGGGTCAATTTTACGACTCCTCTCAAAGCTAATTTGACCCAATTTGGCCCACAAATTATGTTCTCGTGTCTCATTTTACTTACAACATTAATTCCGTAAAATATAATCATACAATACATATCTTAGTTGTTTATTTAAATAATCTTCATTGATGGTGATCTAACAAATAATTGAAAGTCTTCTTTCAAATAGTGATATGACAATAAGAATGATAGGAAAGTCTTATAGCTCGTTTGAAAGTATTTAAAAAAAAAAAAAAACTTATTTATATCATGGTTTTCAATAAAGCTCTTCTATATGTTTGCATGCAAATCGACAAGGCCTTGCATAAGCTAATAACTTCATCTTCTTCCTCTAGACTTTTCATAGCAAGTGGGATTGTGGGTTGCAATACCATAAAACCACTCAAGCTCTTCAATTTTATTTTACAAGTTGCATTACCAATAAGGTTTAGGTGGTAAATGAGAGATTTTTCAGTGTGATCGGCACATAAGGTGGTATACCATGTGTTATTATACAAATGATATGATATGCGTGTTAAAAAGTTAATAACTTAAAAAATAAAATTTCTCACCACTTACATAAAAACACGTGATGTACCATTTGTGTTCCCGTCACAATAAAAAATTTCTCGTGGTAAAAGCTCCTTGGTATTCAACCTATTTCTTATATTTGAAATTACACAAATCATCAGGGCACAGTGAGTTAAAAAAATACAAATCTTCCGCTAAATTAGGATTAATTACACTAACATTCTCTAATATTTATCGAGTTTTAAGGAAATCCTTCTTATATTTGAGACATTACACTCAGAACCCTCTTATTTTATTTCACTTTCAAATAACCCTTTAGTCAAAATTCTAATAATAAATATAAAACTCTATCCTTAGTAATTACTTGAAATTAATATCAAAAGATTTATAATTATATATATAAAATTATGAAACTTTAACACCAACAAAAAAATGACAAGACAAGACACGCCACAACATCAACCCGAGGGTTTCAATATTGTAATTTTTGTTCTACTTTTGATTCCTTGGGCCATCCCAAGACGATGAAGCTTTGAGTTGTCGCCTTAATTTTTCATTTGAGTGGATACAAAACCAAATATCTTATTCTCAATTGTTCATAGAAATCCACATTATAGTGCATAAACATGATTGTTTTCCATCATTGAAGTATCTTCTGTTTCAATTTTTTTTTTTTTTTTTTTTGTAGAAAGTAACTAGCTGAAGTACATATTAAATTCATAAAAATAGAAATAAAAACTTAAATTACTCTTATACACAACAATATTAATCTAAAATCACTCTTGTTTATATATTTTTCTATGGAAGACATAACCAAGATTAGTTTTGATATGTATGATTTTCTATTTTGGTATTTTTGAGTGGTCCAGAAAATTGACGGATATAGGAATCTACTTGATCTTTGTAATGGTTGGATCTCACATAAAATGTGTACCATTGAAGGCCATTTTGGGAAACCTGTACTTAAAAAAAAAAAAAAAACTGTTTATATTGTGCTTTTAGAATAATCAGTTATAAAATAAAGGAATTAATGAACTGTATTTAAAAAAAAATGTTGTGAGTATAAAAAAACAATGCAAAAGCGTTTGATAAACTTTAATGTAAAAGTAATATAATTGTATATAATTACAAAAAGGGACAAAATAATGGTGGGTAGTGGCAACAACGGTGGCGAGGCCAATGTTGGGCTATGGCTACTGCAATGGTGGGGGTACAATGTTCGCACCAATAACAGGGTATGGTATTTAGGTTGTAAAGGTAGCAATGGTGTTAAAGTCAATGATAGAGGTGATAACGATGGTTGTGGTGGTGGTGGTGGTGGCTGTAGATTATGGGTGTGACAATGTCAATGATGGTGGTGGTAATGGCCGTGGTGGCAGTTGTGGTGCTAGTAACGGCGATTGTGGTGGCAGTGGTGCGATGGCAGTGATAGCAATCGTGACGACGATTATAGTGGGACGACAGTGGTGATAATGAGGATAGTGGTAATGGCGGTAATGATTTAAGGTTAATAGTTGTAGTGGTAGGTGGTGGCGGTCGTTTGTTCTCTAATGGAGAGGATGTGAATAGACGGATAAATAATATAAATTTTTGAGGGTATATAACAATTAAAATTATTCATTAAACGTCCAACTTTTTTTTGTTTTATAAAAACAACTTATAAAAGTTGTCGTTTGGAAGATATTGCTTTAAAAATAAGGAAAACTAATGAAAAAAGCTTGAAACTTTGAGTTTTAACAATAAGGAAAAAAAGGTGTTGTAAGTGAAAGTACCATGATTGACTATTTAGAGTAAAAATTTGGTTTTTTGTTAAAGTAAACAGTACCAGGAGTTTTTCGTTAAAGTTTCCTTAAAAATAAGTAAAGTATTTTACTTTTATAGATTTGTATCCTCTCCTGAGCTTAGGAGGCTAAGTCTCCTGAGCAAATCACACAGACCGTTGGATTTTACTCCAATGACTACAAATAGGAGACCTCTCTAAAAATTATAATAATTGTAGTCATTGAATCAAAATTCAACAACCCGTGTGATTTGCTCAGGAGACTTAGCCTCCTAAGCTTAGGAGAGGATCCAAATCCTACTTTTATCAAACTTTTTAACTTTAAAATTTGAACAGTTTTGTATATAAGTAAAAACAATGTCAAACAAGGCCTAAATGAGACGTAACATTATAATCGGACCTAAAAATAATCCAATAATTACAGAACAGATACTCCGGGCCACGTTGTGGGCCGATACTTACAAAACAGCAGAAACCAACCAGCTCCAGCCTTCTCTGACTCTCTCTCTCTCTCCTCTCTCGTTCTCTTCCAGTCAGCAGAGCAGAGGAACATTACAGACGAAGCAAAGCATAGAAAGACAGCGCAGAAGGAAGTGAAAAAAAAAAAAGAAAAATTACTGTAATGGATTTCGTATCTCTGTTGGTCCCCTTTTTCGTTTTAAAGCTGATCATCAAATTAAAGCACTCCAACCCCAATTCCTCCATCATTGGGCGTCTCTTCCAAGCAACCCTCCACCCCCACCCCCATTAACTCTCTCTCTCTCTTTTTACCCACCTAATCTCTCTCTCTCTCTCTCTCTCCTCTCCACACTGAACCAAATTCAAGTTTTTACCAGCCCCTTATCAGTTCCCTACTTCTTGTAATACAGAAAAGGAAACCCAATTCAAATTCTTCATTTACGCAGCTATTTCTCACCACATTTGGTAAAATTTAGCTAAATTCAGTTGTGGGTATTTGAAATATATCAATTTCTAGCTTGAATTTGTCGAATTTGATTCTGGGTACCTCAGCTTTTCAGCCATGCCAGGCTTAGTCTCACCCAAAAACTCGCCTCTTGGAGCACCTTCGCCGCCAATTTTCGTACCCGACCCGGCCCGCAAAACAGAGCACTCCAATGGCGCTAAAACCCCATCGCCTTCGACCACTCGGGCCAGACCCGCCAAAAAACCAGCCTCAGAGAAGCTACCCATCGACGAGACCTCGCTCGACAACCCGGATCTGGGTCCCTTTTTGCTGAAGCTCGCCCGGGACACTATTGGGTCGGGTGAGAACCCGAATAAGGCCTTGGACTACGCCATTCGGGCATCCAAGTCATTCGAGCGCTGCTCGGGTCCTGGTCTTGACCTGGCTATGAGCTTGCACGTAGTGGCGGCGATATGCTGTAATTTGGGCCGGTTTGAGGAGGCGGTTCGGGTCTTGGAGAGGTCCATTGAGGTGTCGGATCTGGAAAATGGGTCGGATCATGCTCTGGCAAAGTTCTCGGGGTACATGCAGCTGGGTGACACGTATTCGATGCTGGGACAGCTTGAGCAGTCTATTTTATGTTACGGGTCGGGTTTGAAGATCCAAAAGGAGACTCTGGGTGAGTCGGATCCGAGAGTTGCGGAGACTTGCAGGTGAAGTAAAGCTCATCTCTTTATCTGCTTGTTCAGCTCTACAGGCTCATTTTAGCTAGTGAGGCTGTAAAATTGCTACATTGCGCCATGGTTTATCTGGTAGTTAAATTACCATTATCTTAAGGATTAGTTGTGGGGCTATATGACTGCTTTGGTTAGTCTGCTTGTGCTAGTGGGCGACTCACAGCAGTTGATACATTTAGCCATGTGTGAACAACTCTCAACCGTTGATACACGCATCAACGTTTGGAGATGTCCACTCGCCCGCGGCTATTGTTAACAATTGATTAATGTTGTAGGATGTCGCATGAATCAATGGTTATCAAACACTTACTTTGCGTTAACAACTTATCGATGTGGGCAGAAATTTGATTGTGTTACTTGTATTGATAGGCTTATCCACTTAGAACTTGCTTATGCAATGTAATTTCTTCAGTACCATGTTTTCTTATTATCCTTAGAAAACAAAAAAATAATAATTAGAATTTAAGCACCGTAAAAACGTGCTGGAAACACAAACATAAGACATTGGAAATGGCAGGTACCTAGCAGAAGCCCATGTCCAAGTAATGCAATTCGATGAGGCGGAGAAATACTGTAGGAATACGCTTGAAATCCGCAGGAAGCACAACTCGCCAGCGTCTGTTGAAGAGGCTGCTGACCGGCGTCTCATGGCTCTCATTTATGAGGCAAAGGGAGATTATGAATCTGCACTTGAGCACCTTGTCCTTGCAAGCATGATAATGATTGCCAATGGACAGGACAATGAGGTTGCCGCTATTGACATGGGCATTGGCGATATTTACTTATCTCTTTGCCGCTTTGATGAGGCTGTTTTCTCCTACCAGAAAGCACTTACTGTCATGAAATCCATGAGGGGCGAAAATCACCCTTCAGTAGCATCCGTCTTTATTCGCCTTGCTGACCTGTATTACAAGACGGGTAAGTTAAGAGAGTCTAAATCCTACTGTGAGAATGCTTTGAGGATATATGCAAAACCTTTACCTGGAATCGTACCCGAGGAGCTTGCTAGCGGGTTGACTGAAATCGCAGCCATCTATGAAGCTGTCAATGAGCCTGAGGAGGCACTGAATCTCTTGCAGAAGGCGATGAAGTTATTAGATGATACACCTGCACAGAGGAGCTCTATCGCAGGAATAGAAGCACAGATGGGCGTTATGTTCTACATGGTCGGGAGGTACAGGGACGCTTGGACGTCTTTTGAGAGTGCTATATCAAAGCTTAGGGCCGGCGGGGAGAGGAAATCTGCCTATTTTGGTGTTGTGTTGAACCAGATGGGATTGGCTGGTGTGCAGTTGTACAAATTGGACGAGGCTGCTCAACTTTTTGAAGAAGCAAAGGAGATACTTGAGCAGGAGTGTGGCCTTTGTCACGCCGATACTCTTGGAGTGTATACTAATCTTGCAGCAACATATGATGCCATGGGAAGGTAACTCATCTTTGACACATAAGCTACAAGGATTTCTTAAATTCTGTAAATAGTTTGTTTTCGCTGCTATTAGAATCTACACAGAAGCACTTGGGCGGCAGACGTCTATGCCCCATTGTTTATACTTATGATCACTTTTGTTTTGTTTTGTTTTATGTTGAATTATTGTTTATCAAAAAATACTTTTGCTTGCAGTGAGCTTGTATGTCTAAGATATAGTGGAAGTATAGATAGTGAACAATTTAGCTTGTAGAGTTGATGCGGTCTAATATGGGAGGTCTGTCAAAAGTCACTTTAGTAAGGAGTCCTCACATTTGCTTGAAGTCGTAATCAGTTGCTACTCCCTGGTACTCATCATGATCGTTCCTCTATTCTTTTGATCTTCCGTGGGTAATTGTCAGGCGGCTGATGTAAAGTAAAAGGTTGAAGGCTTGTATCAGAAAGTAGAGATGCTTGTCCGTTTTGAAATCAATTACAATTTATACTTTGAGATCATAGAAAATTTTGCGTGTTTGCAGAATTGCTGAAATGCCGAGCGTCGTATTAGGTTTTTTTGATTATCCAGTCGTAAAACTTGTATAGGGACCATGATGTTTGAGTTCTGTAGCAAGTTCAGTTCGTCCTTTGAACATGAAATTCTGTTATTTATTACAGAGTAGAAGCTGCAATTGAGATGTTGGAGCACGTCTTAAAGGTGAGGGAAGAGCAGCTTGGGACGGCAAATCCAGATTTTGACGACGAGAAGAAAAGGCTAGCTGATCTTTTGAAAGAAGCAGGAAGGGCAAGGAACAGAAAAGGAAAATCGCTTGAAAATCTGCTCGATCCCAACTCCCAAAAGACGAAGAAGGAAGGATCCAAGAGGCGGTCTGGATTTGGATACAACACTTGACAGAGAACGCCTCTCTCCCCGGCTCTTCTTTCCCTTGCTGCAAATTTTGTACATATCATGTTTAAGCTGTTTAACTTCCACTTGGTTTCACTTCCTGTATTTCTTTTACTCTCGTTCACTTTATTCCTGGATGCTTCTCTTGTGAAATTTAAGTCGTGTTTGTACCTTTGTTGAACTGTTTTTTTTTTCCTACCTGGTTCCTTGCTTACTATCAAGGTTGTGTTGGTCACTGTATAAGTTACCACTGCTCAAGAATCAAGACCCGAGAAAGACCCGGCTGTCACCCGGGATATAACCCACGTGATGAGTGTTATAGGAACATAGATATATCTCGGTTGTATGCAAGAGGCTCTTGACGATGTGAGGTTTGCTTCTAGGAGACTACCAACCAAACTAATGGACAATAGCAGTCTAACTGCAGTCCAAAACCCTCAAATGGATGTCATACAAGCCACCAAAAACACATGGAGATTGAGTCTTATAGTTGCTAAACTTAGCTATATTTCAAATTCATTGTGTACACAAAAATAAAGAATCATATAAAGTTGTAACATTTAGGTTTAACGGGAGCTGACCAGTGCCTGAAGTTCGAAAATATTATCTTATCGGATTGAAAATCTTGATCTATATACTTATTTTTGGTCAATTAATCAGAATCGAATCTTGAGAAGAAAAAAAAAATATCAAATGATACTATTCAACCTCAAACTCATTTGAATGTAGCAAGTAGCATGACATGCTTACCGCATACATACAGTAGTAATTAGGGCAAATTGATTTTTCTTTTCAATTTTAATTTCAAGTAAATATTCGAATTGGTACACTTTTTTTAATATTGTCAAAAGAAAATATCACTTTACAGCCTTGAGTTTGATTCGAATTACACATGGAGATGGAGGCCATTTCAGTGATTTTGCCTTTGGTCTGATGCGAATATTTTTTTAGGGTCGTTTCGCCTACACGACGTCGTCTCCTTCGCGCCACATTCGACGTCTGCCCTCTTCCTCCTTCCCTCTTCTTTCTATTTTCACTCGCTCACCGTCTCACCAAACCCAAAACCCAATGCCGGACGCAGACGCACCCTCCGCGTCCCAAACCTCTATCTCCGCCGCGGGCCCCACCCACCACCTCCCTCTCCAAATCCTCAGATCCGACCCGACACCTCCTGCCCCGACCCGATCCGACCCACCGGGATCCACCATCGACTGGCTCCCCGACTTTCTGGAATTTTCATGGGTCGCCTACGGAGCCTCATCACTACTAGTGATCTCCCACTTCCCCTCCCCACTCTCCGATACAGAAACACTCATCGGACCCATTTTCCGGCAGGTATTCGAGCTCTCCGGCGACCCCTCATCGGCCGTCGAAGCTGTCTCTTGGTCCCCAGCCACGCCCTCGATTGGCGAGCTTGCTGCCGCAGCTGAGAATTGCGTTTGGGTGTTCTCGCATGACTCGGCGACGTCCAAAGGTGCGTGATTGTTGGAGGTTGTTTTAGTGTTTGGTTACTGAGAAAATTGAGAGAGAAAATGAAAAGTGAATGTTAAGGTTTTGAATTGACAGCAGGACTTGAATGAATGTCTAGTAGCAGGTGTGTAAACTGCTTGCAGCAAAAAGGTTTCATATTTCCTGTTTGGTTGCTGAAATTTAAGATAGAAAATGAGGTGAAATGTTGATATTTTGAATTGGCGACTGGACTTTGGGCATAGAGTACAGAGAAGCCTGGTTAGATGTCGAACGTAGTTGTTTTCTGTTTGGTTTCTGAGAAAGCAAATCAGGAAAGGAAGTGATATTTGATTACAAATACATTGACATTCTTGTGATTTTCTGCATTCATGTGGTCCAAAATGGCAATATGATTAATGTTGGCTTTTAGTTCCTAAAAGTTTAGTAATTTATTATAGGCAATAATTCTGTATTCTTTTGTTATTAATTTGGTTTGTATGTATTAAATTTCAAATCTTTTTACTCATATTCAGGTTCTTTTTGTTGGAGCCAGAATGCAGTACTTGTACAGTCGACGAAGGTTAAGGCAATCAGATGGACGGGCTCAGGGGATGGAATTATTTCCGGTGGAGTTGAGGTGGTTTTGTGGAAAAGAAATGGCAGGTTTTGGGAAATTGCTTGGAAGTTTAAAGCAGAGCTGCCACAAAGTATGGTCACCGCAACTTGGTCTCTCGATGGACCATTTGCAACTGCAGCTTATCAGAGTAAATGGCAGACTGAAGGATTGTCAACTAATAAGGCTAGCAAATGTGTGTTAGTATGTCAAAGTGATGGAAAATCTGGATTTTTGAAATCCGAGCTACATCATCCTCATGCTGTCTCAATGATTCAATGGAGACCATCTACCGGAAGGCATTTAAACAGAGATGCAAAACATCCACCAAGGCAATTGTTGCTCACTTGTAGCACAGATGGAACTGTTAGGTTATGGTGCGAGGTTGATGAAGGAAGGGGAAGAAAATTTGGTAAGGACATGAATGACCCCAAAACAATGAGATGGTCATTTTCTGTAGCCGCTGTAATAGAGATAAACCAGGCTTTGAATGGACTTCTGGGCACTGATATATATGTGATGTGGGCTACAGAAATTGGGGGTGTATGTAAAACTAGTGAAGGAGCTAAACAAATTTTCTCCACAAAAGGTTATCTGCAGGACCAGGCTGGTAACTGCGAGTGGATAATTGGGTTTGGCCCCGGAATGTTGGTAAATTTGTGGGCTATACACTGTCTTGACGATGTCTCACCAGTAAGATTTCCACGGGTTACTTTATGGAAGACACAGAAACTGCAAGGTCTAAAAGTGGGACATTCTAATTGGACTGGACTTTCTAATTGTAAAGATGGAATACCTCTTAATAAAGTCGTTATCTCAAGGAACTGCTTGTCTGGTCCACCAACATTATGCTCTTCGGTTCATTTATTACCTTGTAATTCCTTGGTTTGGTCACAAATACATACTCAGATGTCAAATAATATAGAGGATGCACCCGTTAATAAATCTGGTGTGGAGAACATCTTATCATGTTCAGCTGGTGGACTCCTGAATTTGGATGGTCATGCTGGAAGAATCTTACAAGTAGATGTGCATCCTTATAGCTGTGAAGTTGAATTGGCTGTCTCTTTAGATTCTTGTGGATTACTTCTTTTTTGGTTCTTTTCTACCATTTCCAACTGCATCTTGGACCGCCCAACATTAATTCCAACATGGGAGCTTTGTGGGAAGCTTGCGACTCAAGGTTCATGCTCCAAATATACAAGCTTGAGGTGGGCACCATCAATCGGAAATGAAGCAGTTATTCTTCTTATGGGACATGCTGGAGGGATTGATTGCTTTGTTGTAAAAGTTCATCACAATGAGGAAGAAAGTATAGAATGTCACTACTTATGTACAATACCTTTTACAGGTCATGGTCCTTTTGTGGATGGTCCTGCTAGTATCTTTTCAATTCCTTTGCCTTCAACTTGTCCTAAAACCCTAAAATCTAATAAATTTTTGCTTTTGGGTGTATGGATGAATGGGTTTCAGGCTCTTTCTTGGGAAATAACCTTGCATTCTTTTGATTTGTCAAGAAGCTACTGTGAGTGCAATTTTGATGCAGGAAATGCGTCTGAAGGCAGTATGTGGGGATTTGAAACTACTTTTGCCGATAAAAGATATTGTCTTAATGTAAAACCTTGCTCATCACAGATCCCAGATCCTCACATATATGATGAGGTTACAAGTTTTGCTGTGGTCTACCCGGGAAGAAAGATATCTATGGAAAAGAATTTGGCTTCTATTATTGATCGATGCTGTCCTCCATATATTATGGCTACAGGTTGCTCCGATGGTAGCTTGAAATTGTGGAGGAGTGACATGGATAAGCCATCAACACCTCACATTCCATGGGAACTTGTGGGTAAGTTTCAGGCACATCAAGGACCTATTAGCCATGTATGCTTGTCTGACTGTGGTGGTAAGATAGCAACCCTTTGGAAGGAGCTTTCTTCAAATACTGTTAGCACTCTTCATATATGGGACTCTGTACTCCTAGCAGGTGCAGGGTCTTTTATGCTAGAAGGTACAATATCCTTTGGTCAAGATCTTGTTGCTTTAAATTGGCTATCATTTGGAAATGGTCAGTTATTACTTGGAGTTTGCACAAAAAATCAGTTGCAAGTATATTCCCAGCAGCGTTACGGTGGCCAGACTTTATTAAACTCTGAAAAATCATTGAAAACGGATATATGGGTCTGCATTGCGTCGACTCATACCTTCCCTCCCATTAATGATTTCTTTTGGGGCCCCAGATTGTCAGCTGTGTTTGTTCATAGTAGCTACTTTTGTGTAAATAGTCAGTGGTTATTCCTTGCAGATAAGAAACATCTTGTTAATGTCGATCCAAGTTACATCATGGAAAATTGCTTGGATTCTGTGGGTGGAATGGAAGAGGACATTAGTTCTGGAATTTTCATTGATTGTGCACTTGGTCAATTTAGTAAAATATTACTTGATGACAACAGAGGAGATTGCAAGTCTCGTATTCCATTGGAGATTGATTTGAAAAAGGATTATCTTTCTAGCAGCTTGTTTGTAGCAAGGGCTCAACTGAAGTGTAGTGGGGCTACTAAAGTAGGTATATGGACCATGCATGACGTGGTTGAGCAGTTAAGTGGATCTCTGCCAGTTTATCACCCAGAGGCTCTATTTATGAATATCTATTCAGGTATTAATATCACAGAAGTTCAAGTGAGTTGTGTGGTACTGGTTAAAATCTTCTATTCATCCCCCTCCCCCGCTCACTCTCACACCCTCTCCCTCCCTACCACTCTCTGCATGTCTCTTTTTGTCCCAATTTGAAGTTTCCAAATTGTCTTTTACTTCTAAAGAATCCTTTTTGAATTCCTTGTTTTCCAAGTAAGTATTTTTTGTAATATTTAATTAGTTTAATAAACAAGGAATCTGTAATGTGTTTAGGAAATTGGAAGCGTGCTTACATTGCTCTGAGGCATCTTAATGAGTTTCTCTCTTCTAATTCTTCTCCCGAGAGGAAGTTTAGCCCTGCAAAGTCTAGCCATTGCATTCCGCAGATTCCTTTGTCAAATTTCTTTGATGCACATATCTCAATAAATTCAAATGACAAAGGATTTAAGTGGAATGGTGATGCATCTGTATTTACGTCATCTTCTCCGTTTCAAATAGGCTTTGGCCAATCTACATACGGCTTGGACTCTTATGGTTCCAGTAATATGATCAATTCTTCCTCAACAAAATCTGAACTCAATGACTTTATTGAGCCTTTTGAGAAGTTGTACAAGTCAGCAGCTATAAGTGACATAGAGAAGATTCAAATTCTTTCCATTATAGATCTACTTACTGAATTGTGTAGTTCAAACTCTAGTTCTGCATATGAAAGTCTTGACGAACCTGGACGGAGGTATTTCTGACTTCTGTACCCCATTTTGTATTCTTTTATTTGAGTTACAATTCTTGAATTTGATTAGAGGTACATTCACAGTGAACACTAATTTCTAGCTAACATAAAACATGAAAAACTGGATTTTAGGTAACAACAGCCCTCCAATTTGCATAACTATAAAAGGGTAGGTCTGAAACCCAATAGAAACCCAAACCGACAACCATCCCACAAACCATCTGCACCCTCCCCTCTATAATTTTTGAAGACTCTTATATTTTGTTCCATACGCACCATTCAAAACACAGCCAACACACAGAATCCACAAAGCCTCTTCTTTGCCCAACCATATATACTCTTATTGGAAGTGTGTGGTGATGGCTATTTTCTGGGTGATTTAAAGGGAGAGGAATAAAATTATATTTGACAATGGGAGGAGCGAGGAGACATTTTTTCGTTGGAGAGGGTTTGCTTTTGGGCGTCTCTATGAGCCTTGTCTTTTCCAACTTTAGGGGTACTAATCTTTGACATTTAGGGAAATTTATAGTGAAAATATCTATGTTTCAGCTGGGTAAAATATCCAAGAATAAAAGGTTGAGCAGTGATGAATAATTTTATCTAATAGTGTTGCATAAAACTGTACTATTTGCTCATAACTTTTTTGAAGTTGTTTAGTTCTTGATAGTGATTCAAACAATGTTTTCACTTTTTCTAATTCTTCTATTTTATTCTGAACTGTCCATTCGTTGTAGGTTTTGGGTTGGATTGAGGTTTCAGCAACTACATTTTTTCCGAAAGTCTGGTAGATCGGCATCCGTGGAAGAGTTGGTAATTGACTCCAAGTTGATTGGATGGGCGTACCACTCTGATTGCCAGGAGAATTTATTTGGGTCGTTTCTACCTAATGATCCATCTTGGCAAGAAATGCGGAATTTGGGTGTAGGATTTTGGTTTACAAATACAGCACAGTTGCGTTCAAGGGTAATACTCTAAGATTATTCTTTGTATACTTTTATGCACTAAACTAGGGAAATGGCTCTTCTCAATCTTCTTACATCACCAGAAAAGCCGGTTCTCTTCTTTCCAATTTCCCAAGTAGTTATCTAGAAAAATAAAAAAATAAAAAAAAAACATAGTAGTTAAACCTGTCTGTGATGTCCATACATTTTGGCAAAGATTAATATGCATTGTGTTGACCAAGTGTACCAAGGCAATAAATTGATCTCGCATAAGCAATGAACCTTAAGTATATAAATAAAAAGAAAACAGTTTCAAAAGGCAGTTAATTTGTTTAGTTTTATTATTGTGCGGTAATTTTAGTTTATCAATGGTCATGTTTAAGATGTTCAGTGACTTCATGCAGCTTCCTTATTGTGCTAGGAATATAGTGATTAAAATTCTCTTCATGATTTTATGCAGTTAGGACATGACTCTGTTTTTGTCTTTCACTATAGATGGAGAAACTGGCAAGATTGCAGTATCTGAAAAGGAAAGATCCTAAAGACTGTGCATTGCTGTACATTGCACTGAATAGAATTCAAGTTTTGTCTGGCCTTTTCAAAATAAGCAGGGATGAGAAGGATAAGCCCCTTGTTGGATTTCTTTCACGCAATTTTCAGGTACTTTTAAATTTATAGGCGGGTAATATATAATCACTTGTTTACAAGATTATAGAGAAGGAGTTCTGTCGGAGGAAATGTTTCTTCTTGAGTTGAGGTCCTCCTTGTCCCAAATTTTTTTCTCTTCACTTATTGGTGCCAGTATGGACTCTCTCTCTCTCACACATTTTTTTTACTACTAACTATCAGTTGAACTTGACCGGTAGATTGTCTTAACAATATTCAATCTTAGGTTGTCTTAACAATATTCAATCTCAATTTTGCATCCACGTTTTATTCTTTCAGGAGGAGAAAAATAAGGCAGCGGCTTTGAAGAATGCATATGTCTTAATGGGGAGACATCAGCTGGAATTAGCAATTGCTTTCTTTCTGCTTGGAGGTGATACTTCTTCTGCAGTCAATATTTGTGCAAAGAACCTTGCGGATGAACAGCTTGCATTAGTTATCTGTCGACTAGCTGAGGGTCATGGTGGGCCACTAGAGAGACACTTAATTACGAAGTTCATGCTACCATCCGCAATTGAGAAGGGCGACTGTTGGTTGGGAAGCCTTTTGGAGGTGTGTTTGTATAGTTTAACACAAGTATTTCTTGTTAAAATGGACTCTGCCACTGTCTGTGATGTGCTGCAGCGCAGTTCTTTAGATGTCATACCTTACGGTGACTCTTCTTGATTTGCAGTGGGAGCTGGGAAATTACTCTCAATCTTTTACATGCATGCTTGGTTTCCAAATAAATTCTGCAACTGAAAAGTATGCACTTTTGTCCAACGGTGCTCCTTTTTCAGACCCAAACGTTGGTCTGTATTGTCTAATGCTAGCAACCAATAATTGCATGAAAAATGCCGTTGGGGAGCAAAATAGTGCATTACTCGGAAGGTGGGCAATATTGACTACAGCTACTGCATTAAACAGATGCGGTCTTCCAGTAAGTTTACTGTTTCATCCATGCTGTTGTTTTGAATGATATATGCTGGATGCGAATGTAGTGTTTTAGGTGATTCTTCCTTTTATGAAAGATTAATGACATTCTGAAATGTTGGCCATATTATTGTCTCATGTTAACCTGTTCATGAATTGCATAATTTATAGCTCATAACCTGTTTCTATCAAAATACTGCTTGAGTTTTGACTATATAGTTTCACCGTCAAGTTTATACACCGAGATGCTATAATCTGTAGGACTTGCGTATACAAACTGGTTTCTTGTCTTTGTACTGGAATATGTTGATGATTTTTTTCTGTAGTAGGCGGATAGGTGTCATACTATGTGTACCATGTACATCCAGATCTCTGTAATGAACTTATCCAAAAACAGAAAAGCCTCCTGCCAATTTTACATAAAAACTCCATACGACTTTACATGTATTGAAAGGCATTCGAATTGGTTGTGCATATGGTTTTGCACTTCTTGTTACAACTGCTCTTCTAAGGTTCATACTGCTTTCTATTGTCTTATGGCTTGTCAAGTGTAATTGGATTTTATTGTATAGGTGTATGATTGGACAATTCTTATGTTTTGTAAGGATATGCGACTAATAAATCTCATACTTATTGTAAGCTTGAAGCTTTGGAGTACCTTTCGTCTTCACCAAACATTCCTGGGGATACAGATGAAAGGGGTACGTCAGATCTTGGGCATTCTGAAAATCTGCGTGCAATTCTAAATCCTTCTCCCCGAAATTCTAGCAATTGGTTATCGAGTAATGTGGCTCTCCATCTGGAGTTCCAAGCCAAATCAGATTTGACACTTCAATACTTATCAAAGTTGGTAAGAGAGCATCCAAGCTGGGTGGATATCGTCTTTGGATCTTTTCAAGATAGTACATGTGTAAGGGAGTGCAAAAATCAGGAATATGTAAAAGTTCTTGAATCTTTCCAACAGAAGTTATACACAACACTAAATCAGTTGGAGCAGAAGTTTTCAGTGGTTCCCTTCCATCTTGTTAGCATGGTATATTTTTAGCCTGTGATGTGATCAAACCTGTTAGTTTGTCTGACATAAAGTGATTAGTTGTCCTAGATTGACCTTATTTTTTTCCTTTTCATTCTGCAGATTTTAATCTCGCTGTACGATTATGGGCTGTGGTTTGTTGGATATGATATATTACATAGATACACTGCTCAAAATCAAGATCTAGATAAAATCCAAACAGCTGACAAATTCCTATCATATGCTCTTATGCATAAGCCGCTTTTGAAGGCCACCAGAGAAACTTCCCTTTTGTTTTCACGCGTTATTGTTGCCTGCGGTATAACATGCTCTGTTCTGAAGTCGCCTTATATTGAAGACAAAGTGTCTGGTGATAGTAGATCTACAGGGTCAGATGCTTTGGAGTATTACTTTCAAGGTCTTATACTGTTATTGAGGAGTTTAAGGGCTGCTTTGGGAACGACATTTTGCTCCGTCACAGAAGATCTCATCATGGAACCCCTTACAATCATTGATTTGATCGAGTATTATGTACATCTTGCTTATGCTTGGCGTCATAGAAACTCAAAAGTTCTCTTACTATTGGTGCAACCCCTTCTGATCACATTTACTAATGGGCATACACCTTATGAAGTTGATATGATGAATATGAAGAAACTCCTCACCCAGATTCCAGAGGTGGCGGTTCAGAATAATGTGGGCCTTCAGGTTTCTCAAGAGAGAAATATGACGCATTTGGTTCCAGAAGATGAAAGATGGCAAATCATAAGTGTTTGCTTATGGCAACACATATCCAGATTCATGCAACATAACTTAAACATGTTGTCGTATAACCTTGATGATGGCTGTTTTGCTGGTGAACCCCATCGAAAATATTTTTCATGGGCACCTAGCTCTGCAAGTTTAGATTCTGATAGCAGCAGTCTGAAAGAACTGATTGGGCTGGTCTCATTGAGCTTAGTAAAGTTATTGAAGCCCACACTTTCACAGGTTGCCTCTTATCATGTAAAACAGCTAGCATCACTTCTACAGCACAAAATGGATAATGGGTTGCGCGTAACGACTCTTGTTTGGTTAGAAGAATCTAACAAGTCTCAACCCGGAGCTCTCAATGAGCATCTAAATCAGGATAATGTCAAATTGGACACGATAGGTGAAAGACTTGAATCTGATATGTTATGGGATGCCTGTGCTGACCCTAAAATAATATCCGAAAGTTTTGCCCAGGAAAAAGTAGACTTGTCTCACTCTCTTGATCATAAACCCTCTAATGGATGGGGTACCATAAACAGGGGCATTGGAGCTGCAGATGAAACTGAGGAAATTCACCATCATCAAGTTACACTCAATAGTAGTTCTCCCAATAGTGAAGCTGGATCACCTGCTAAAAGTGTATTTCGGGGTGGGCATTCTTTCCTTGGTGCCTGGCAGAAAGACACAACCATTACAAAGGAAGTCACACCTTTTCTAAACCCAAAGGAGATATATAAGAGAAACGGGGAGCTTTTGGAGGTACACGTCTCTTCATTTCTTTCCTCTTAACTTTTGGCAATTTACAAATATTATATTGATCACTGCATGAAGATCTTTGTATTGAATTAGGGTTCTAAATCCTGAAAGAGAACATTTTTTGGCACTTTTGATGATATTTTTTAGTGATTATCTTCTATCTGGATCAGGCGTTGTGTCTCAACTCCATTGACCAGAGTCAAGCTGCACTTGCAAGCAACCGAAAGGTATGTTCCTTCACTTGAACCCAAATCTGGTGAGGAAATCCTTAAATTTATTTTCATACGACTAACCATCTTCTGTGTCTTAACACTTCTTAAAGGTTTGATTCTATTAGCTTGGGCGTGCACTAGATATAACCTCCTATATTTTTTTCCTTGAGAACTGTGATAAGTACCTCATGTATTTTGGTCATCAAAAAGCAAAAAAAATAAAATTGTACTGAAATACATGCCATATAACCAACTAGTAGGTCCACAATGATGTTTAAATTATTGCATATATACTACTTACTCCCCAGAAATGTGTCCTGTGTATTTAAAATTGTTAAATTTCATTTTCCTTTGATTATGGAGTTCTCTATATACCTACATAAGCAAACAAGTAAAATTAAAGTTGAAACTTCAGCTTAAGAAAACAATGAAAATTTTACTAAAACTGTATAAATTTATTGAAGTTGAAACTGCAGCTTAAGAAAACAATGAAAAATTTACTAAAACTCTAAATAAATTTATATTTAGTTATGATCTTTCCTACAATCAGTTTGCCTGATTTCTTTATCGCAAGATCAGCTCTTCCAGAAATGCATATATTGTGAATGATTTAAACTGATTTTTCAATTTTGACAAATGTCATTGTTTATACTTTGCACCCCGTATGGGAGCGCATCTGAGAGAGTATTAATTTCAACTTCTTGTGGTTCAGGGGATTATATTTTTTAATTGGAAGAATGATATGCCTTTCAGAGATCAATCAGATTATATCTGGTCACTGGCTGATTGGCCACCAAATGGGTGGGCTGGTTCTCAGTCAACCCCTGCTCCAACATGTGTTTCTCCTGGTGTTGGTCTTGGAAGCAAGAAAGGAGCACACCTTGGATTGGGTGGAGCAACTGTTGGCGTGGGTTCTTTTGCAAGGCCGGGAAGAGATTTGACAGGTGGTGGAGCATTTGGGGTTCCAGGTTATGCTGGTATGGGGGCATCTGGTTTAGGTTGGGAAACTCAAGAGGACTTTGAGGAGCTTGTTGACCCTCCAGCTACTGTGGAGAATGCAAATACGAGGGCTTTTTCAAGTCACCCATCTAGACCTTTCTTCTTGGTTGGGTCTAGCAATACACACATCTACTTATGGGAGGTATGAAACTTTTGACAGTGAAGTTATTGGATTTGCTTCAAGATCCTGTAGATACTATTTGCAATCTGTTATCTGATATCTGCATTGGGTTTCCTTGAGTGGTTTTTGTGAAGATTCCTATAGATCTCAACAGAGCAGGATAGAATCTTAAGGAAAGTCTTCTTACGAGGATATTTTAAATTGTATTATCATATAGTACTTTGCTTGATGAGTCTTGTGGTCAAATCCAAAGTTTTTTTGTTGATTACAGTTAACTACAATAATTTGTTACTAGGGTGCATTCATGCAGTATTTTTTTTTTATTTTCCCTTTTTTTTTAGACATTCATAATTACCCCAGAAACATTATATCTTTGTCCCCTTTGTGGTAACTGGTAACTTATATTTTCATGATACACTTGTATGTTATTCTACCCTGACCTCCAATCTATCCCGCACACTTTTTGTAAAATATTTCTTCCTACAATGCACTATGAAGAATGCACCGAAACTATGTTCAAATACAATCATAATAAGTGCTGTAAAGTGCAATCTTGTGAATATTTTGCCATCTCTGTATGTCACCTTTAAGGGCATATAATTATATGTAAATTTTATAAATGCAGTTTGGTAAGGACAAAACGACTGCAACTTATGGAGTGCTGCCTGCTGCAAATGTCCCTCCGCCTTATGCTCTTGCATCAATATCCGCTTTGCAGTTTGACCACTGTGGACACAGGTTTGCTACTGCGGCCTTAGATGGAACTGTGTGCACGTGGCAGCTGGAGGTCGGAGGAAGGAGTAACATTGGTCCCACGGAGTCATCTCTATGCTTTAACAGCCACGCATCGTAAGTGCTATGTAAATTTTAAAATTCATCACACAATTCCAATTGTTAAGCTCTTAACTACGTTTTGGACAAAAGTGTAGCATCAGGAATTCTTTTGAGCATTGCTGCAGTATGTGTTAAGATGAAGTAACAGTAACTTTTGCGTCAAGATTTTTTCATTTTGGGATGGCTACTTCCCTCGTTATGATTTAATGCAATCACTCTACGGTGATAGCAGAAACCTGATATTATTGTAATACCCTCGTATAGTTCTGGACTTCATTGTGTTCAACAGTTTGTTGTTGACCTAAACTTTAACTGTTTAGGTGGATGTTGATCCATAGCAAATGACCATTTGTATTGAAGTGCTTATCTATTGACCTTGATTTATTATTGGTAACCTTTTTCAGCATGTTTGCTTAATTTATGTGTGTCATTTGGTTGTCTAGTCAAATGACCATTTGTATTGAAGTGCTTATCTATTGACCTTGATTTATTATTGGTAACCTTTTTCAGCATGTTTGCTTAATTTATGTGTGTCATTTGGTTGTCTAGTATTGTTTGTATGTGCATGATTATTTGTTGACCTGTGGTTAACACTCAATTTTAGTCTGATAATTTCTTATCGTTTCAACTGTAATTTCATTTGCAGCGATGTTGCTTATGTCACTTCAAGTGGATCAATCATTGCTGTGGCTGGATATAGCTCCAATGGTGTTAATGTGGTGATATGGGATACATTGGCTCCACCTACAACCTCACGAGCTTCTATTCTTTGTCATGAAGGTCTCTCTCTCTCTCTCTCTCTCTCTCTCTCTCTCTCTCTCTCTCTCTCTCTGTGTGACACGTTGGACATTGTTATTAACTTTCTTGTCCAGTTAATAATTTTTCTTCATCTTGTATATGCCTTGATTTTTTTCTGTGTGAAGGTGGTGCACGCTCTCTTGCTGTCTTTGATAATGACATAGGAAGTGGCTCTGTCTCCCCACTTATTGTGACTGGTGGTAAGGGTGGTGATGTCGGACTTCATGATTTCCGTTACATTGCTACTGGAAGGAGTAAAAGGCATAGGCATTCGGATAAAGGTGAACAAGTCATCAAGACATCACCGAATAATGATACGCATTCTGAAAATGGTACCAAATTTGGGGAACAAAATCAAAATGGGATGCTTTGGTATATACCGAAGGCTCACTCAGGTATAACCTGATTAATTTTCATGCAAGAGTAACTGTGAATAAAATTATTTGTTGGATCACTTATCATTTAACTTTTTACTGAATTAATCTGGGTGAAGGGAGTGTGACCAAGATATCCATAATCCCAAACACAAGTTTGTTCTTAACGGGAAGCAAAGATGGAGATGTTAAGCTTTGGGATGCCAAGAAAGCTAAGTTGGTACATCACTGGCCGAAGTTGCATGAAAGGCACACATTTTTGCAACCAAGCACTCGAGGCTTTGGCGGAGTAGTCCAGGTAAGTCCTTTGTTCATCATATGTCTGTATATGTATTGTAGTTAGACACAGTAAGTGATTTCTGTTACCTCGTAAGATAAATTACTTAAGGTGACACTACATTCCATGTCATAGGCTGCTGTTACAGATATAAAAGTCGTTTCACACGGTTTTCTTTCGTGCGGTGGAGACGGCACTGTAAAGTTGGTTCAACTCAAAGACCACATCTGAACTCATGGACAATAGGACTGACTGCAGAAAACACAAAATTTTGCTTAACCGTCCACAATTCAAAGTTGGTGATTGGTGAAAACGAGAGATACTTCCCACATTGCTTGACTGTTGCTTGTCACTAGCATATACTGTAGTCGACTGGAGGATGAAATGACAAAGAGACGCTCCTGGAATTTTTACACATTTGGACAAGTGAAGGCAGTATGAACTGTATAACGTTTCTTGCTTGGAGGCGTCTTCCAGGACCATACAATAAGAAAAGAAATCGGATAGGAAGTTTATTGGTTTTTCACCGTGATCTTCGAGCAACGTTGTTCGGAAAGCCGGCATGGTCGAGTGTCTTCCGTCGACTGCTCTGCCCTTCTCATGGCAGTATCTGTTTTCGAATTACTTAATGTGCATTATGTGCTGAAACAGAAAAATTACCCCTTATTTTTATCTACTTGTAGTATTTTGCATTAACTCAAAACTGTTCCAAAAAGCTATTAGGAGAGAATGTAAAGTGAATCAATTTTTTACCATTTTACGTTATATTTTACTGAAAGTTTTTTACTGCCATTCCAGCCCCCGGAGAGAAAGTAAAAGAAAAAGGAGACGGAAATGTCAAGATATTCTCTGTGGTCTCGACCCTGAATCTCTGATTGTCTGTGGGAAGAGAGGGTGAGTCCGTGGGCAGAAAGACAGCACACGATAAGCACGTGGCACTCCCGGATTGCATTGCAAGCAACTACAAAAAAAGTCAAAAGTACTTTTAGTCTGCTTTTGGTGGTAACTTTTACTGGAAGGAATGCTTCTAATTTGGTTCACACCTTTTGCCCATTGGATAACTAAAATTCCCATCAATTAGGCCACTTAATTAGCCTTTATAGGTTGTCCATGCTTGGCCATAAATCAATGGGCACACCCTGAAAAATACCTCATGCCTCTCTCGATCTTTCGTATTGAGTCGTGACGATGATGTTAAAACGTGAGCATCAAATTCAAAACCTACTAATACCAGATCTTTTGAAACGCTTATGATATGCTTTTATTCTTTGATTTGAGATGCAATAACACATCACTCGTGTGATAGAATGTGAGGATTCAGCTCTCAAATCAATTGGCAATGTGTGAAGTGGCACGAAACATTGGGTGGGCACACACTATATCCTCATGGCTGCCTTGATGATCACTATGTTCAAGTAAAAACGAATCATATTCAATTTTGTACATAACTTATACTAGCATCAGTCATGCGTGACAGTGACACAACCGTTGATGATTATAATTCGTGCGGTATATCCAACACACATCAAGAACGACTATAACAGCACAATGAGATCAATGCTAGCACAATCTAACGCACATCAACGAGGACTATGATAGCACCACGAGATCAACGCTAGCACAATTCTACATATCATAGTCACCTAATTCAAGATCTTGGTGATTAATTCAAGCTAAAATCTTAACCCTTGTACACAAAAGGGTCCACCTCATCACTCTCTCACTTCGTCATGGGGCCCACCCTAGATGCCAAATTTCGCTCCATATTATCAATGTATATCTATTACCTGGGAGAAGCCGAAATGGTTGGTAGGTCTATTTGGACCCCCATCCCTAGAAAGATTTTTTTTTTAATATTATAATATATTTCTATTTATTTTATGATACATCGTTTAATTGCTTGAATATTGATTACTTTAAAAAATTTCTGCCAACCCACCCATGTGCCGGATTTGGATGGAATTGGATCCTCTCCGAGGCAGTGCCTCAATATCCTCTTGACCAGACAATACGGACGTTTGAATTTTGATCTAACGATTACAAACAGAGGATTCTTTTAAAAGTTATAATAATTGTAACTGTTGGATCAAAATCCAACGGCCTGTGTTATCCGGTCAGGAGGATCCCGAGGCATTGCCTCGGAGAGAATCCAATTCCGATTTGGATTTCATCCGAATCTAAATTGTGAGAATTCTAGAGATTCTCATATCTTAAATAATCATTGTGAATTGTGTGATTAGAAATTATTTAATTTTATATTTAAATTAATATCTAATAAAATTTGATAACATGATGTACGATAAACGGTTAAACGTGAGAATCCCTAAAATCCTTACAAAATAAATCCAAAGAAAACCCATTTCCCCATTTGCCTTGCCCCACGACAGTTTCCCTCCAAAAAGACTAAAAAATAACACTCCAAAAGGTACAATCCTATCCTATGCAATATGTGGACCTATCTTGTACCCTTGGATCTCCCATCACTGCCACGTGTCACGAATCCACCAGCCGACTGCAATTTTACATCTTCGAGTGGATATCATATATCGGTATTTAATTTCAGACCCAAATTATGAAACATGGGCCCCCACACGACAAAGACAATGCGGGTAACGCCAATACGGCGTCGTAGGAGTCTCGAGGGGCTGTGCAATATTTCGTTGCTGAATCGGGCTGTGCAAAACTGCAAACCGATGACATAAAAGCAGGAAAGTGATAACCGAAAAACGAAAGCTCTTCTCTGACATCTTCTCGCTTCCTCTCAGATTCCTTGTCTGAATTTCCGTATTTGCAACCGCAAAACGGTTCGTTTCATTGAATGGTTTAGATCCAAGTCTAACGAGTTCCCACTTTTTCATTTACCTCAGAGGTTTGTTCTGCTTCTCTGTTTTTCTTCTTCTTCCCGTTTGATGGAATTGAATTGGTGGATGCTTTTGTTTCTAAGTTTTTTATGGATTTTTTTTGGTTGGGTTTTGTTTTTCATCATGTTTGCTAATCTGGGTTCGTCTCATAAATTAACAAGAGATATTATATGCTGGCTGTTTAAGGGTTAGTAAGGTCATTCAGAACCCCCTTGGCATTTTGCATTGGGGTTGCTTATAGAAAGAAAACAAGGGTTGGATTACGGACGGTTGAATGAATGTTTGAGGGTTTGGTCTTTTGCTTTTACTCATCCAGTGGAGGTAATGGCTCTTCAACATCTTAATTGGTATAATGTTGTTAAAGCTTTCTAATTTTTTCGTGGTTTCAAATTTTTGTGCAGTTGCTAATTGTGTTATCCATTGGTTTTTGTTCTTCTTCTGATTGTGTTGGTGTTTTGATTCGTTTGAACTTCTGTTTTGTATTTGTTTTGAGCGATGCGGATTAAGATTTGTTTTTTCATTGGAGTTAAAGAAAAGGAATGATGGTGATTGGGGTTTTTGATTCTCCTCGAGTGGGATTCTCATAAAGTCAAGCGCGCGTGCAGCGAGCTTGATATAAAGGGGAGTAGGTTGTGGAGTTGGAATCTAGGAATTTCCACATCGATCGCAGTTGTGTGAATTGTAAGGAGATTCGGGTTTTGAATCAAGATCCTTGTTTATGGAAGAACTTGTCACCAGTCAAATTGGCTGGGTTGACAATGCTTGCAAAACCTGCCCGATCATGATATGAAGTATAGCAAGCTTTAAAATCTGGTTTGTATCTTATAGTTTTTCGGGTAATGAAGGATTTCGGCTACTTCTAGTGTGTGAAATCGGGATATCCGGTGTCCCATTACATAACTTCGACTGACTCTCCAAATGAACTGTGAACTTGTCAAATATGTTGAAGACTTGCCATCGTCTTGATTTTAATTTTAGAACCTATCTTGGATTCTTCTAATGAATAATTGTTTTGTTTTTCTGTTGTTGTTTCTTTAGTGGGATTTCGGTAGTGAAATAGTACGACCCTTTCTGTTGGATTAAATTTCTGATCTTTTCTTCTTTTTTTTTTTTTTTGTTAACAATGTGTAGCCCTTTACAAGGTAAAATGTGCATAAGAATAGCAAGTTGATGGCAGCAGCAGAAGCAAGGGCTGTGTGGCAGAGAGCAGCTAATCGTTGTTTCGTCCAAGAGGATGCCAAAAGAGCTCCCAAGTTAGCCTGCTGCCAATCCTCGTCTTCGACAACTAGGCAGGTTGATGCTGGGCCTGCAACTGGAGCAGAAGGGCCAGATCATCCCGCCGCTGGTTTCATGCCTATCAACCGGAATCCATATTCTAGTCGACCCCCCGATACAAGATGGTGGCTGCAACCTAGCTATGGGTACCAAAATGATTTTACATACGAACAGTTAAATGCATTGGAGGCTGACATGGAAACACTGAAAGCTGGGTTCGTGATATCAACAACCAACACTAGCGAGGTTCACCAGCAAAAAGCAGAATTCGCTGATGCGGATAGTATCTCCGCTGTTTGTATGAAGACAGATTACGAGGTCCAAAAGCAAGATGTAAACGCCAAATATTGTGAAAACATGCAGGAACTTCTCCAATATGAAATGAAGGAAAAATGTGAAATAATGGTGATGGATACCATTGATTGCCCAGTTTCCAAGAAACCCAAGGAATTTAGTTGTGACTATCCTTGGCTTGGAGGTGGGAGGGCTGAACCGTGGTGGCGGACAACGGACAGAGATGAATTGGCTTCCTTGGTTGCTCAGAAGTCGCTTAACCATATTGAGAACTGCGACCTCCCCCCACCTCAGAAAATGTATCTTAAGAGACATCCATATGCTGATATTGGATGTTCCGACCCGAATGTGATGTTGGGGACATCTTTAGATGCGAAGGCCCAGGCGAATGATCTTTCCAATATGACTACTCCTACACATGGCTATCCAGAATCTGGAAAGGGAGAAGCATCCGGAGAAGGGCACTCCGACAAGTCATTCAGGTGTTTATTACATATTAGATTGACATTTCAGGTCCTTGTGTTATTTACGAATTCTTTCAGATTTTTAGATTGTACTCCATCTTAAAAAAAAAAAAAAAATTGGGACTAGCAATCTGAGATCAGTTGTATTACTACGTGCAGAGACGTCATGGAGATTCAACAACCTTCTGAGGGTGAGCCTACAAAAGCTCAGCTAATGGAGGCTCTCTGCCATTCTCAAACACGTGCAAGGGAAGCTGAGAAGGCAGCAAAGCAAGCTTATGCCGAGAAGGAGCACATCTTTAAGCTCTTCTTCAGACAAGCCTCTGAACTCTTTGCCTATAAGCAGTGGTTCCGATTGCTGCAGCTGGAAAGCCTTTATCTCCGTATCAAAAACAATGACCAGCGTCCAAGCACCACTGTTTTCCCGAAGGGACTTCCATGGATGCCATCCAAAGGCAAGAAACTGCGGAGGAGCCAGCGTAAGGGTGCCAAGGGTAAAAGAGGAAGGAGGGCCGAACCCAGACACGACATTACAACATATGCTGTTGCTTTTGCATTGGGGTTCGGTCTTGTTGGTGCTGGGTTGCTCCTGGGATGGACTGTGGGTTGGATGTTACCCCATTTCTAGGCTGTGTGGTAGTTCTGAGTTCTGACCAATTCATGCTTCTTGTAATGATTGTTTAAAAGGGAATAGGTATTTTGGGTTAGTTTCTTTTTTTTTCTGTGTATTTCGTGCAGGTTATTCGTAGTTTTCATGTGTAAATATACCCCGATGTACGTGTATAAATACTGTGAGGACGGATGAGATTTTGCATAAATTTGGTTGTTATTCTTCCACCTTATGTTTGTAAATTATTACGAGTCTTGCTTCCTTTTCCTTTTGTTTTCCTATGTAACTATGGGCTGGTTTGGTATTGCTGTGCTTTGAAAAAAAGCTGCTTCTGCTGTGCTGTGAGAATAAGCAGCTGTGAAATAAAGCAGCAGAGTGTTTGGTAAACTTTTTTGTAAAAGTGCTTTTGAAAAAAAAAAGCAGTATTAGAGTGTTTGGTAAACTTTTATGTAAAACAGATGTGAAAAAAAGCCAGTTTTTCAAAGCTAGGTTTTGCAGCTTCTTGTTTTTGGCTTTTTTTCATCCAAAACTGTGAAAAAAAGCTGAAGCTGAGTGTTTACCAAACACAAAAGCAGCTCCCAGCTTTTTTTGATAGCAGCTTTTTTCAGAATCACCTCAGTACCAAACCAGGTCTATATCAAGACCTTGAAAGCCAGTTTGGTGTTTAAATTTTGTGTGTTTTGACTTTGATGGTCTGATGATTTATGATACTTTTGTGTAGCTTCAGAATATGGCGTCACGGTCGGAAATTTGGAAGGGACGACTTTCCTGTCCTGCTGAATGAAGAGTTATTTGCCATCGATGAGAGAGGAATCAATCGGTGTTATTGTCACATTACAATGTTGTGCTACTTTTATTCATGTTATAATACGTTTATCCACTTATAACGTTAAAACTCACTCAACCTTATGATTTACTCTTATTATATCACATTGATAATATATTAACACATCGTGATCCTCAAACTCAAAAGAGAACTCACTTTGACATAAAATAGTGTTATACATTAGAGCATCTTCAGTAGGTGGTGCAATACCTCTTTTTTAGCTCATGAAGAAGATTACCATATTCGAGTGGACGTCTAACTGCAAAGAAGTCTTTCAATTTGAATAAAATTATTTCTACAATTTGAAGGCGATATGGTTTACCGTGCGTCAAACTGTGTCAAGGAGGGGGCTAAAAATGCAAGTGACCCTTTACTACAATGGTAGAAAGGTGTTGAACCTTTGCATAACAGCGTGAGTTCAAGTCCCGTCGTTAGCTAATCTAACATCTAATCTAACCAAATCTATCGTTTGACAAAAAAATAGACAGACTAAAAATATATTTCGTGGAAAAAGTAGACACACGTGCATCTTAGCCCGAAAATGTGATTATTAATGAATATTTCCATTTTGCCCATGAGTTGTAGAGAAAATAACCCAAATATAAACTTGGGTCTCTCTATTGGAACCAAAATCAAGGAAGCAAGTGGACCATAATAGTTAGGACTGGATTAATAAGAAGCCCAAGTTTGAGCCCAAAATTAAGTACCGAACCCGATTCGTTAATGACCCGTCCCTTCACCCGGGTCTTCTTGCGAAGCAGATCCGTTTCTGGTTCCTTCCATTTCCTTGCAGCCTTCTAGGTCGTAGCTCAGACGACGAAGAGGATCAGTCACGCGCACAAACTCGAAAGTACACACACAAGAGAGATGGCAGTCATGGAGAAGCTCAGGATGTTCGTCGCTCAGGAGCCTGTCGTCGCAGCTTCTTGCCTCATCGCCGGCGTTGGTACTCTCTCTGTCCCTCTAGTTAAATTTAGGATCGAATTGATGGGATTCAAATGCCCAGAATTGGAGCACTGATTTCAATTTTTATAAATTGAGTTTTGGTTTCGTGTTCAAAGTTACCGATTTGAGGGGGTTTTCTTCTCAAATTAGATGATGGGCAGTTGCCAATGCGTTTTCTGAGCAATGAAGGTGTAATTTAGAGCCGTTTGATGCCAAGGAAGTCTTGGTTTCTTCCCCTTTGAAGTGTGAAGTATTGCATACTTTAAAGGAGGAATTTGCATGCATGTTTCAAGGCAAAGTTTGAATCTTTTGGCTGAATTTCGATATCTCGTGATCTCTTACAATTTACAAGTTTAAGAATTCCATGTTTTGGAGCTGTTTGCATTCATTTATCGGAGAAAAATTCTAGGACTTGGTTCTTGCTTGAGCTTAGTAGAGTAACCATATGCTTCCATGGCTGGAAAAGCAGTGCCTGAACGGTTGGGATACTCATTTTGTTAATCGTATTGAACTGCAATATATTTTTTTAGTTTTACGTTCTCAGAAAAATAATTAGTTCTTAATGAATTAGAATTGCATTTTCCAATTGCAAAATTATCCCTATAGAAATTGTATTACGAGAAGTGATCGCTCGTGAGAAACTATGTTCCATTTTGCTATATTTGATTCGGGTCAAATTTGGCTCCTAATGTTTTCAAGTTAATAAATCAAGCATTCTAAGAATCATCTAATCAGTATCTGTTAAGGTTTCAAGGGCATTCCTGTCGGGGTTATTGCCATCTTCAACTAACTTGTTATTGTGGATTGAATTTCAGGACTCTTCCTTCCCGCTGTAGTAAGGCCAATTCTAGATTCCTTTGAAGCTTCTAAGCAAGTCCCTCAGCCTGCTTTAAGTGATGTGAGTGTTAAATCACATGTTAATTTTAATTTTCATTCGTACCACCTAATTATGCACTTTACACCATTGGAGTACTTGGTACGTTGTTTTGCTCGTAGTGAAATATTCACGGCTGATCCATGATTTTCCAGATTAGAACATAATTTAACTTGGATAAAGTGACTGCTCAAAAGATCTAGCATTGATACTATGATGGTGTTCAACTTAGATCTTATCACTACTGAGCTGCTTTAAGGAACCTATCCAACACGGTGTACTTCAACTTGCTTTCTCTCCCTTTAAATAGGTCTACATGGTTTGGTGCTCTTACATTGCAATGAGCATGTAACTTGGAAAGGATAGGAAAACAAGAACATAGAATAATCGGATCCTCTCAACTTGCCCTGTCCCTTACATACATTGACATGATTTGATTATGTGCTTTTACACGTCCACGAGTTGTGAACAATTTTTTCTCAAAAAAAAAAAAATGTTACAAATGATTTGATACCCTCACAACATTTTGACATGTTCTAACTTGTTTGTTTACTATCACTCCTTTTCTGAATTGCCCGGGTATTTTTTGCAGGTGGTTGCAGGTATGACAGGTAAAAAATAGCGGTGATATGATTTATCGGTACAGGCAACAAAATTCGAACGATTTCCCTGTGTCATTTTTCCATTTTCTTGAGCATTGAAATAAGCATGACAAACTTGTATGGAGACAGTGATGCTGCATGTTGAATATTATCCTTTTTGTTACAAGCAGATGATTGGTTTCCTGTCGCGTTAACTTTAACTAGCCGAAGCTTAATTTGAAGCCTAATCAATGCAGTTCTTGTTAGATTGAAGCCTAATTTGAAGCTTAATGAATGCATGTTGGACACAAGTGTCTGCTGCTGTTTTATTCTTCATATGAATTCAAATTTCTTTCCATCGTCTTGTATAAACTTTCGTTCGTCCCGATAAACATAATTTACAGGTTTGAATGCGTTTCTGATCCCCATGTTTTGCTCGGGTTTTCGATTTGGCCAATTTGGTCACTGAGTTCTAATCTGTTAAGTATTTGGGTCATTTCCGTGTCATTACGGTGTTAATGCACAGACACGGAGGCTCACACGACAGCGATTAACACCAAATTAGGCAAAATGTACTGAAATTGTTGACAGGATAAAGCACATCAAATTAGGGCTAAATTTTACGCAAACACATTACAAATTCATTTTACATTTTACATGTCCCTATGGGGACTGACCCTAAGCCCTAACCCATAACAAAGTCCCCCACAATTCGGGACCATCCCGGTTTTCAGCACCGCCAGCGGCGGTGTTTCTGAAGTCTTTAGCTTGCGTATGGAGAAGAAAAGGTCATTTTCCATTGACATATAATATTACAGGACTAGAGAAGTTGACAGTTTAACTGATTTGGATGCACTCCACAAGTACACAGAGACAAGCCTAAATCATATAACAAACCCATCTTTCTTGAATTTTCTATTCTTCCATGGAACTGCCTGCTTCAAGCTCTGTTTGACTGTCGCCTGCAAACATGGAAGTAAGTTTTACTTCAATTACAAATAACTTCAATGTTCCCAAACGAAAATCTAAACGTCTGGTTGGAATTGCTTTTAGAATGCTTGAAAGCGCTTGCACATGGCTTGCAAAGATTGAATAAGCATTTGAAAGTGCTTCTCCAAAAAGCAATTCCAAATGCTTCTAGCTAAAATGCTTATAATCAAAAGTGCTTCTTCCAAAAGCATCTTAAAATGGGCCATAACGACTTTTCCTCAAGTCTTTACACTCTTGGCCTTGGCCAAACCAGCAACATAACATGTTCTCACACTCCCATTCCATTCCTCTGCCTACCCTACAAACCCCAATCTATCTTGTCCTACTTAGAGACCTGCTTAGTTGGGTACATATAGTATGGCATTATGGCATGCTATATACCAGATGAATATGGCATGCACCGGATGAATAGAGGGTTGGATATGCGGCCAAGATTCTAACGACTAGAGATCCCAGTGTGTATGTGCATACTATATACCGGTGCATGCTAAACGAACCCCTTTCTTTCTCTAGCAAAGACCTTAGATCAATTCGCCTGCAGAGGAGGGGAACCTGTCATACCCTTCCAATGCTTTGGACCAGTTTCTCAATGACATTAAAACCATCTAGAGTTCATACTTTCTCGGTCAAAATTTATACAAGCGATACTAAAGAAAGGTGGAATGGAACTCAGGACATCAGGTGCAAGGGTGAATGCGCCGACAGAATTTTAATGATATGTGAACGTGCCATAATATATAAAAATCCATTTAAAATTAAAAATCAAAAGATGAGATAAATGAAAGAAATTATTTACCCAGAAGTGAGGTTTGGCATGAGAGAGACTAGAAAAGCTCCCAACCCTTGTAATCCTTGGCACCTTCTTCTTCACCTTCATCCTCCCACTCTCTCCTCCCACACTGCCACCACCGTCAATCTCTCCGTCCACAGAAGATGGAAAGACATAACTAGCCCCACCAACGTCTCTTTTTCCCTTCAACACCCTCCTCCCCCATGAGTCAAACCACCCTCTCTCCTTCCCTTTCCTGCTCAGAACCAGAGCACCAAGCCCCCCTCCTCGCTCGGGGCTAAAACCGCCATAACACTCCATCCTGAATGAGGAAGACTGAAACTTTGGCCTGCCGACATAAGGACCCTCCAACACTGTGGTGGGAGAAAGCTGTTTGGCTTCCAAAAGCAGCCTCGGAGGGAGCTCTAAGCACTTTTGGGAAAAGTCAGTGGGGTTTTGAAGGGTGGCCAGGGCAGTGCAGAACCTTGGCTTCCCGGGCTGTTCTTCCCAGCGGAATGGGACAGAGACTGAGGTGTGGTGGGGTGGGGTTAGGGTCCCTGATGGCTCGTGGGAGTGAAATGGTGGGGCAGAAAATAAGGGCAGCTGTGGTGGCTCTGCCTCATCAGATCCCAGCCCCATTGCTGTAAGAGTTTTTTGAGTGTGAAAAGGGAGAGACAAAAGGAGGAGGAGAAGAGAGAAAGGAAAGTCCCCAGAGGAAAATAAAAGGCAAAAGTCACATATACCTTTTAATTGAGGATTGCTATGTTTGCTAAGCTCGTATTGTTGCTGCTTGACAGGAAATCCCCACATATGGTATTTGATGGCGAGCGGTAATATCCAATGCCCCCACTTTTTGTTTTTAATTAGAATTACTGTTGGGGATAAAAAAATGTTAGGATCAATCGCGTGTAAAGTGTGGGTTGATTTTAAGGAGGTGGATTGTCTCTTCTCTCATTTTCGTACTCTTTCTATGTCTTCCTATGATATGTGATCACGGTTAAATCGCGTTAATATTTTATATTAATTTTTTATAGAAATAATAAAACAAAAAGTAATAGAAATATAAAATGTTAATGTGATTTAACGGTGACCACACAAACAAGAGAGTATAAAAAAAGTATAGAAATGAGAGGGCAGACAATTCACTTCCTAATTTTAATCGTTTATGTTTATTGGACTGACAAAGTGGAAATGATTGTATCAATTTGTGACTGTTCCTAACCATTGTGCTAATTGAACTCACAAAGTAAGAAAGGCCATATCAGTTTCGCACGTGTTCTCAACTAATCCTAATCATTCATGCTACATTGCTAATTGAGCTCACAAAGCAAGATCGGGCAAAATTAGTCTTACACAGAGTGATTGTTTTAGCAATTCCTGTTGGATAATACTAAAAGCAAAGCAGGATTCCGTTCAATGTGTGTTTGCTACTAATCATAGTATTCCTCTTGAATATTAAAAGCAAAGCATAAACGATGAAGATCAATCCTGCACACTTACGCGATTGATCTTAACATTTCTCATGATAATAATACAAAGACATCCACTTTATCCTATCTCCTCTGTAATTGGGAACACCATAACAAGCAATTTGACAATAACTTTTACCACCATAAAAATAAAAATTTGACAATGGCTTCACTGTACATTGGGATAGAGATCCACTCTGGATCTTACTGTCCGGAGCCGAAGGACCGGGTAATCCAGACCGTTCAAATTGAATCTGACTATCCCCATTAACTCATGTTACTGGCCCATTTTACACAAATCAGGTGCTTCAATTTTTCTTTCACACAATCCAAGAGCCCCGGATTTCCCATCCGTAAGCTCGGGGGCACTAAGGTCGGAAGAGGATCACAGAGGTAGTCCAGTGTACTATGCCAATCAAATGGGGCTTCTTGCAAAAAGCATAGGAAGTTAGATATTCTGTACCAATTTCAAAGCCCCAAGGTAGCATTTGGTGCACAGGAGTATACCAGATTGGAACTGGAGTCATGAAAGCATAGGATGCCAACCTGTGATGGAGAATAAAACCCTTTTCGGAAGTCCTACTGAGCCTTTCTTTGGACTTTAGCAACTTAGTTGGTCAATCAAAGTTGCAACCAAAAGTCATCTTCTCTGTGCCACTAAACCCTAAAAACCTTCCCACTCTCTCAAGGCAACTGCATATAGTCTTGTAAGTCTAAAGCTTCGAAGCATGAGAAAACACATTCGACCAATATAGTGCTAAAGAGTTGGATTTTGAAGGGTTGGCACTAAGAAGAAGATACCAGCTGGCTTTCGAAGGCCTAACAAAACCTGCCTCCACATTGACCATACATGTAAAATATTAAAGGGAATTCCGTCACGCAACTGGTCGGACGTGTTATTTTTTCTGTCTCTTTCATCACGTGATTAAGATGAGAAAGATGAATGATAGACCGATAGAGACATACTATTGATTGCACCCAAAAAAAATTTGTTATCGAGGAAACTCTTATGTACAAATTCACATTTAATGAGAATGTTATTTGTCTCTAGATTGCCGAGTTCTTGATTAGGGTACTGATTAATCACGGTCCATTGACTTGCCTTGCCATTGACTAAGGATTAGTAGCAAAGATGCACCTAAGAATCCAAGCCTCATATAATAGGAACTTTTTTTATCAACTCTAATGAAATGAAAGTCAATAATACTATACGAAATCTTAGTTGATTTGGAAGCAATCATAGGCATTGTGTGACATAGTGCAAGAAGTAATGTTTACATATAACTTCAACTCATTCATTGATTTTTTTAACATCAGTCGCTTTAGACCTCCACTTAGTTTCACTCAAGCTTCATCCAAGTCATGGACACTTGGATGGTGGTATTAGGAGGAATCGTGTGGCTAACCATCAGCGTTGTACGTGGCGTGGTAGAGTTGCTACTTGTCAATTGTCATCCAGGATCAAAAGTCAAGGGGAAAAGCAGAAAGCAAGTCATTTTCATAATCAAAGGATTAGCTTTGCTCAAAAGCAGATTTGTGATATCATAAAAGGGAGATCAAAGTCCTTGTTTTATCTCTCCTATGACTATATAGTATAGGATTTGGATCCTCGTCGGATCTTCTCCCTGGGGATCAAAATGATCAACGCACATGGACCGTTGATAAAAAATAATACGGCTCCAATTAAATACGTTTTATATTTTTAAAAAGTAAAGTAACCTCGTTTTGCATGAAAAATATAAAAAAATAAAATTGCGACCGCACGATTTTTTATCAACAGTCCACGTGCGTTGATCCCTGGAATTCCTACGAAGGGAATCCAACAAGGATCCAAATCCATATAGAATAGGCCTAATTGCAATCCATTAACTTCAATAGTACTTATATCCCTACGCACATGGGAAGCATGTAACGAGGATGTACACTGAGTTTCTCATTGTGTCCACGTTACAGCTAACAATAGCAAAACGTCATGATTGTGAAATGCTCGTAAAAGTCTTAATTAGGTTAAGTGAAAGTAATTGAAATATATTGTATCATAAATCCCGATCCATAAATTAGATTAGTATAATCAATGTTGATATAATTTGGATTAGTATAATCAATGTTGATATAATTTGCTTCTTCGTCTTGTTTGGCAAAAATGCTAAAAACTCGCTAAACCCCTAATCATAGCGAAACTCCAATAAGTAAGAAACTAAGGGTGATAACGATTGAAGTGTAATTATGTAAAGAGTAGAAAGCAAAAAAAATGAAAAACGCATGAAACAAAAACGTTTTTTTTTTTTCAAGGCTTATTAATTGATTTATCTTCTGAAACTATCATTTAGCTTCAGTTTATCTTTGAAACTAGTTTTGTCTCACTTTGCCACATGAAACTGTCATTTTCGTCTTATTTTGTTTCAGTTCACCACATTTTCGTACATTCCGTCAAATAAACGTTAAATTAAAGGATAGTATGAAAATTTTATTTTTGTCACAACTCTTTGCCTCCAACTTGTTTGCTAAACAATTCCAATTCCATTTTTTATAACTCTGATTCATACCTCATATGTCTTTCTTGCAGATTGGTGTGGAGCTGTAATTGCAACTGTTGGCAAAAGTAAATAATGGGTTGTGTGTTTAAAAGCAAATAATGAGTTGTCTTTCAAAATCTAATTTAAGCCACTCATTGAATCCAACTACTGCATATACAGCTAAGCATCAATCCGCAAGGAGACATAAGGGGGTTTGAACTAGAGTTGTCGAAAATTGAATTGTGATTGTTTTAGCATGCAAGTTGGAGGTAAAGATTTATGTCAAAAATAAAATGTCCATACCATCCTTTAATTTAAGATTTATTTGATAGAATTCACGAAAATAAGATGAACTGAGACTAAATGAGATGAAAATGGCAATTCTATGAGATGAAGTGAGACAAAAACAGTTTCAGAAAGTAAAGTGCAGCTCAACGATAGTTCCAAGGGGAAATCAATCGTTAAGCATTTTGTCTGGGAGAGAGTTTGGTGGTGGAAACAAACAACCCTCCCATACCCATTAATCGTTTTAAGGGCTTCTTAGCTTTGGGCTATTACTATTAAAAATGTTCATTTCTGCTTAGTAACATACAAAACACATAAATTCATGGGCTTATTCTTTTGAGTTAGGGCGACCCTTTTAAGACTAAGATGACGAGCATTTTAATTGTAGAGGTAGCAGATGCGAGTTACCTTTGGTGGTCTACTAGGTCAGGCTCATGTATCTAAATTCGAATATTATGTTCTAACGTTTAACAATGTAATATACTAACGCAATCATTTGTTCTAGAAAAAAAAAGGAAGGGATCTTAGGTTCAAATCTCGCGAATAACAAGTTCAAAATCTAATTATTATGACATATGACTAATGTATGATTAACGCAAATCTCTGAACTTTAGTGTAAATGCATCTCTGTATAAAAAATATATATACAGAATGTCGTCGTATAAAAAACATAAGAGATAAAAGAAAACTTCTCTTTGTAAACATGATAAAAGTGAGCATAGATCCGGTAAACACTAGAAGCCATTCACCTCACTAATGGATGAATTTTGACATCATAGGTGGTTGACCAACTATAGTTTTTTATGTTTTTATAAGACTATATTTTAAATAACTTTAACTTGCAGGTGAGGATTATTCGAATTTAGATTAAGAGGCCACAAATTGTTTTAATTAATTGACTTCACATATTTTATTATTAGTTATATTTCACTTATCCCAGCATACAACTCTTTATTACAGTGACGGAAAGTAATAATATTTATGTACTTTGGTGCGAGTTTGATCCTCACAAATCCTCCTTTTCTAACATTTAACAAATTAACTCGCCAAACGATATCGTTTGCAAACATACACACACACACACATGATTTGTAGGAGAATCTAGTAGACATGGACATTGGGCAAAGAAGGAATTAAACAAAGGGAATAGGTCAGACTATATATATATTACATTTATTGGACTTTCATACGTACTCTTTTGTGAAACTGCCTTGAATAATATTGTAACAAAATTTTGTATGTTATGTGAAGACAATTGAATCTGCCTTTCGTTTATATTTTTAAAACATAATATAAACAAATTTGGAGCTATCACGCAATCTTCCCCAACTCCATTTCCCCTAAAATAAGGCATATACAATATAGTCTTTTATTTATAATAAACAAACAATTA